TGCATGCAACAGTAAAAAACAATTAAAATGAGATCATGAATTTGAGAGGGAGTGAACAGGAGAGGAAGGAGGGAATAATGTAATTTCATCTTAATTTTTAAAACGTGAAAAGAAAACACACTAATACCGGATAGATGCTGAGGTCAGCAAGAAAGAGTATCCCTGCAGCAGTATAGTATACTTATCCTGCTCCTACTGTGTTTTATATGGATCAGAGCCCCTGTCACTCATTTGTTCCACTACTGAAATTCAAAGTGCTCACACAAAAACAGGTTCTGTGGACATCCACCTACTGGAACAGAGTTTAGTGAGGTAGCCAGATGTTGATCTAACAGTTCCACTGAAAGCTACATTGTGTCAAATTCTATAAAAAGAGTAAGGCAGGGTCATGTACTGGGCTAATGGGTCAGGTCCAGCTTCCAAAGGTGACAAGAAGTGAAATCAGAAGGTTTAACAGCCTTCTAAGATTCTTCTGAATATCAAAGAAACATTTGAAGCTTTACAAAGAACTATGCCATACCCTCTGCCCTCAGTAAACCCTATTACTATGTTACTGTAACCATGTAAACTGCCTAGTTTTATGTCAACTTGACACAAGCTGGAGTTACCAGAGGAGGGAGCCTCAATTGAGAAAATGCTTCCATAAGATCTGGCTGTATTTTCTTAATTAGTGATTAATGGGGGAAGCCCAGACCAGTGTGGGTACTATCACCCATAGGTTGGTGGTCCTGGGTTCTATATGAAAGCAGGCTGAGCAAGCTATGATGAACAAGTCAGTAAGCAGCACCCTTCTGTGGTCTCTGCATCAGCTCCTACCTCCAGGTTCCTGTCCTTATTGCATTTGATGATGAACTGTTATATGGAACTGTGAGTGAGATAAACCCTTTCCGCCCCAAGTTGCTTTGGTGACGGCAATAGTAACCTTAACTAAGATACCATGGAATGAAGAATATAGTTTCAAATGTGGCGACTGGGAATGAAAATGCATCCCCATTGTTTGTCATAAAAGGAAGCAATAACAACAGAAGCTTCCAGTTAGGAAGAGAAGATGGGAGACTGTAAGTGCTTAAAGAAAAACTGAGAATAGAAATTAAAAGGTCAGCCTTGGGCAGAGCCTAATGTTTCATTTTGTTGAGAGGATTTACAGGGCTAGTGGAAAAATTCAGGGCATCTTTCTCATAGACAAATGCATCTCTGAGTGGGAGACAGAACTGAAACAGATCCAGAAGTCACTGTAGAAGAAGTGAGGTCTCCATGCCCTTGGTGACCCGGTTTTGTATATAAGGCTATCCCATACTATTCTAGTTTGCCTTCTGTTGGTGTGACAAACACCAGAACAAAACACAGAGGAAAGGATTTCTTTGGCCTGTACATTCAGGTCAAGTTCATCACTGAGGAAGTCAGGTCAGGAACCAAGCAGGAACTTGAAGCACAGACCATGAACATAGCTTGCTGAGTCCCTTGCAAGTCTCATATTTAGCTAACTTTATTACACAGTTCAGACAATCCCCCACAAAAACGCCCACAGGCCAGTCTGATCTGTTCTCAGTTGAGGACAGTCTCGTAGTTGAGACTACCTTCTCAGCGACTCTAGGCTATATCAAGTTGACAGTAAAAATAACTCATCAGTTCCACAATATCAGTGTATATCATGGGGGGATCCTGCAATTTCTGATGACAGGAGTATTGCTAATAGCTAAACACTAATTCAGTATACCACCCCCTAATTCTTGCCTAATAAATTTTCATTAAAATTCAAGAACTCTGATTAATTTCTAATGACAAGATTATTTACAATTGGTCTCTAGTATGTCATAAAATATGTTCAACAAGGCAAGATAAGGCATCTAAAACCCAATGCCTCATTTACTATGCAGTGGGTATTGGGTGTAGAATTTAATTCTCCCAACAATGTGAGCAGTGCTTACTAAGGTTATGTTAGTAAATATCCTCTTTCTCTTCTTCCATATCAACCACTTGGTGCTGAATTCAGTGGCTGCCTGACTCTAGCATCCTCACCTACACAGTGGCACGTCATGGTCAGTCAGTGAAGCCGAATAATGGAAGTCTTTCTGAAATACTGACTTAGAGTTCATGGAAGTACCTGCTGAAAACTGGCTAGCATGGTCAGCGGGCAGGTGCTATCCTTCAAATCATTAGTTTTAAGATGAATTTGTCATTATGTGTATGTGTGGGTACACACATGAGTGTAGGTGCTCACAGAGACAAGAGGCACTGAATCCCCAGGAGCTGCAGCTATAGGTGGCTGTGAGCTGTCCAATATGGGTGCTGGAAACCAAACTCATGCCCACTGCAGGAGCAGTGTGCACACCTAACCCCTCTGCCATCTCTTTAGCCCTCGCATTATTCTTAAGTAAATTCATCAGCTCCCACGACCTAGCATCCCCATCAATAGTTTTCAAAAGGTGGTTCCTGGGTCAGAGTGGTAGATCAACAGAGAATTGCTTACAAATACTAATTTTTAAGTCCTCCTACATCTAAGCACTCTTGAGTCTGTGAGTAGGGATATTAATCGATGCCTTGCCAATCTTCACAAGAGTTTCTCACGAACTCTGAAATTTGCGAGCTATATAATGTAGGTCATTAAATAAATTCAATAACAATCAGCACTTAAAAACCAAAAAATCAAAAACAAAAAAGGTACAGAAAAAGAACAAAATTCATCACACTGTAAGGAAGCATTTGTACAACTTTTGTCTCAAATATACATGTATATTTCTATACATGTATCTGCACTGGTTGTTATGGTTTAGACATTACATGTCCCGCAAAATCCCATTTGTTAGGACTGGAGAGAGTTCAGTAGTTAGAAGAACCTGCTGCGTTTGCATAGGACCCATGTTTAGATCCCAGGACCCACGTGCTGGTTCATTAACATCCATAACTCCATTTCTAGGGAATCTAAGACCCTCTTCTGAATTCTGTGGCCACCAGGCATGTATATATGGTATGGTACATACACACATTCAGAAACATTAAATAACAAATGAATAAATGAATAAATAAATCTAAAAAACAAAAGCCTCAATTGTTAAAGGCATGGCAGCCAGTCTATGCCCTGTTAGGAGGCTCTCTACACTTCAAGTGTGCTCGCAAAGGATGCTGGGACCCATGCTCTATCCTCTTTCTCTTATTCCATATCCCTCATGGCTTGCATTTTCTCATTCTCCCCTCTCTTCTATCCTCTATGATGTGAACAGCTCTTGCGCTACACAGACACGGGCTCAGATCAACAAGGTGAAGGGACCTAATCAGAAACTTTTAAAGCTGAATGAAAAGAAATCTTTTTCTCTTGAAAGTTGACTTCTTCAGGTATTTTCTTATAGGGAGAGACAGATGACTAAGAGTTAAGAAGTTGTTGCAGGGTGGGTCCCAGGTATTTTCAACTACCTGAAGACTGCATGCATAAATCACACTTAACCCCATGTCAAGAGGATCCTATCTTAGTCTCTGAACCATTTTCTATTTAACATGGTCTCATAAAATGCACTGATTCTTCTCATAATACCTTTTGTACTTTGTATTTCATTCTATATTTAACTTTGACTTCCTCTATGTTTTACTCCAAAGTTTATTATTTGTCATTTTTCTTCTTTGATAGAACATTAGCTAATGACAGAACATTCCCTGCCACTTTCCCAATACAGCTCAATAGTATCCACCCACCCATAACATCCACCCAACAAACCTTGCCTATATGAACTCCAGAGCTAACTAACAAAGCCGGTACTGGACTGTTCTTTAAGCACTCTTCTGCCTGTTAAAACAGTCCTGTGAAGCAGAGTGCTATAGGGCATCCATGCCCACTGATAGGCAAACGTGAGCCACAGATGGGTCAGAATTGACATTCTAAGCAGGTGCCTTACTATCCATATGAGAACAAGAGAGTAAGCTTACACTTGTCCACGCCTGGAATAAGTGGCCCTCCAGGAGACGAGGCTGCCCTACCACCATGCACTGCGTACCCCCCTTCATATACTCAGCTATGCTGGTGACTCCACCATGGGAAAAGAAGCTGTTTATTCATTTTTCAGCTTATGCTGTTACTGCATGGTGAATCACACTCAGCCAAGCTTTGTTAACTAGTGAAAAGGAAGCAGCAAAGGACTCTGCAGAGCATACATCAAACTTTCATAAAGTCAACTTAAGTATCAGCTACATTTTTACATTTCATTTCTATTTATTCCTGTTTATAATAGGGTAAAGTGAACTTAATAATCATGAATAGCAACAGGAAGAGCAAAGCCTTTTGGAGACGACCCCGTGGCTCGGAGAAGCCTGTTTACTTCATTCAACCCTCACTATCACAACAGGAAGCACTGACCAATCTTAGAGAAGAGGCTACACTTACGGTCATCCTTGGAACTGATGGTCAATAGACTTTGTCCATTCACAGACTGCACAGTACTATCACAATTTACTTTCCAGACCACTTCCATATCTCAAAAGAAACTACATATACAACAACCAGGCATAACTACATACTGTATATGCAAAAGAAAAGTGACTTCCTTAAATACAGCCTCTAGTAAACCTCTGCAAAATGTATAGCTGGTTCAATTATTACAAATTAAAACCATGAAACAAATTCCCAATGCCTCTACTATGACACGGTGAGCCTGTGCTTTCACATGAGCATGTCAGCATAAAGGACAGCAATCAAGTACTGGCCTCGATGTCCAACTCAGGTAGTTAAGGTTAGAATCCCAATTCTCAGGGTTTAGCAATTTTGTTTCACAACTTCTTAATAAAATTAAAGCACTGTGACAACACAGTCTTCATAAGTATTCTTTGTGAATTTCAAATAGAAAAGCTTAGGAAATAAAAGCCACAGGAGTTTCAAAGATAAAACTTTATTTTTAACACTTGCTCACGCACATTTCTGAAGACCTACAGTCCTGCACTTGTGATTCACAATAGTTATGGCAACAGAATTTAGTAAGTCCTGCATCTACCCTAAATAATGCAAAGGAACTCACTGTCGGTCAGAGTACAATCTTCCTCGCTTTCCTCACTGTCTGCAGATGGAGCTCTGTACGGGGGAGGCAGCTTCATTGGAGGCGGAGCTGTTCCATGCCTCTGAAGGTGCAAAATTAAAGAAAAGGGTTAGTAGCTTTCAGATGATTCTCTTCTCCAGTGACAAAAGAAAAGCACGTACATAAAGATAATCTGAAAACAGTCTGGCTGTAGCTGCCTTGATCACAACACAAGGACTGTAAAATAAATATAATTTATTTCTTCCAGTTCCTATTATTTTATGAAAGTAGCTTTATATAAATACAGCAATGCAACAAATAGGAATTCAAGAGCACAGCTTTGAAGAACACTGCCCTGCCTAGAAGAACATACTTCTTTGCCCGTGAGAAAGCAAGACATGTACATTCTCTTTATGCCATCAGACTCAGTCCTCTGTGTTACCAATAAAATAACTCACAGATTTTCAAAACAAATGCTTTGAAAATATCAACTTTACAATTATTCAGGTTTTTTATTATAAGATTTACAGAATATTTTTAAAAGTAACTAAAATATCAGATTTTATTATAGTTTGTAGATGATCATACACATTTAATGTTAAAAGGGGAGTGTGTGAAATGATTATTTCTGAATAAAGATGCTCTAAATTTATACAGCAAATAACATAACATACAACAACGTGACTCATATATATAATTAAAGCAAAACAAAATTCTATTATTAAATTACCTTCACAGAATGAAGACATTTTCTTGAACGTGAGAAAAAATTAATCATGCCAAACCTTCCAGAAATGCCAGGTGCTGCAGAACAGGAGCTGAGATGCCCAAGCCTTTTACAACACCCAAATGACTAGATTATGATTTGCCTTCCTACATGGCTGCAACAAAGTGCATTCAATTATGCTTTATCTGACAAAACCACTAATGCAAGGTATACCTCTGCTGAGTGGACACTGCCCATTATAACAAGGCAGTGAATTCCTCCAAAAGGGAAGGAACTATGTGGGACTCACAGAAGAAAACACTCTATATTTCTTGAGTACAATGTCTAATGAAATCAGTGATTATATGTGTGGAAAATACAAAATATCAAACTGTAAGAGTGATAAAGAGAAGTCAAATGTGAAACATTTTATTAAGAAACAAATCAGAATGTGACAGCTATAGTCTTCAAGTTGAAAAAAGGTGAGTGAAATGAAAAGAAAAATAAAGTGATGGTCCCACTGCCAAAACTACCCCTCCTTTTCCCAGAACCAGCTCATTTGATGTCAAAGATGATCCTTCAAACAAGAGCAGGGGCTGAAAGTACTATCGAGAGCTAAGAATTCCAGCTTATTTGATTACATCCAACACTCTTGAGAGAAGAACACAGGTAAGTACATCCTAACCCAGGCTGGCCTGGAACCCATCATCTCTCTGTTTAACTTTCCAATGCAGGGATTAAAGTGTGCACCATGCCCCGTTCCCCAGGGTACCCTCCTGCTGCACACAGGCAAACCCTCCAGTGAAGGAGAAAGTTGGAGCTCCCTATGCGGAAGTAGGCCAGGAGATGACAACACCATCAACAAAGAGAACAAGATACACTGAATGGTACGTTCTCTAGTCCCAGGCACATGGTGACCTCTTTAAGGATTTACTAGGTATCTAAATAACTGCCTTTACTCATGCTATTGCCTGAAAGATAAACTTTCAGAAAATAACAGTGGTGCAATCCTTTTTTTTTTTGAGATACAGTCCAATGTGATATAGCCCAGGCTAGCCTCTAATTCTATACATTGCCAAGGATGACCCTGACTCCATCTCCCAAGCTCTACGATTTCAAGCATGTGCCACCGTAAGTACTGCAAATGATTCTCACTTGACAGCAGAGCGTATTGATCTTGAGTGGCAGAGAGGCAAATGGTTTGTCTTATAAAAGACAGCACCAAAGTTATAGCTTCTTGTCCCATAAGGCATGAGCTAATTTTATATCCAAATTTGAACTTTACTTAATTCTCTTCTATTCCCTGCACCAGGCTTACCATCTCTTACTGTCCTGACTAGTGAGTTAAATAAACACTTGGCAATGCACTTTTTCATAGTTTTATGAAAACTGTTGTAATTTTTTTAAATTATACACTGACAGTTTTGGAATTCCCACTGAGATGATCAAGGAGACCTACCTTCCAGAACTAATTAAACAGAGATGACTCAGATATGCAATTTGTGAGCTGTTTCAAACCCAATTATATAATTTTTTGACTCACATAGTAAATTCTGAGAGACAGAACTCCACTACTTTTTCCTATTTCTCTGTGGTTTATTTCCAATTCTCTTTGTGCGCTTTTGATACTGGGTTAAGTCTGATCTGTTATTCGCTTGGACTGTAACTTAGCAACAGCAGTAATGAATGGAGTTTGAGTTTTGCTCTCAACATTGGGTGGCATTTATTGGGAATGACAAACCCCTCAAAGCTGGCTCTATATGGACTTACTGTCCACTGGTTGAGAAGTAATAGACAACATGCTTATTAGTTTCCTGTCTGATTTCATGCTGAAGATACAGGCGGTTTGCATTTCTGTGTCTGCAGAGAACACAAGGCTGCACAGCTTGGACAGCAGCTAGACGCTGACTCTCGCATTTGAGGAAACTCTTACTGCTCATTTTGAATGTATTTTAACAATGTGTAACAGTCCTGAAAGCAAAAACAAAAAACACCTTTTTCTTTTTAGTTTAGAAACTAGTGTTATTTAAACCACTATCTGAGAACCTTTAAAAGAATCTAAGCACCTAAATGTGTATGTGGAGGGGTAGAGGCCCATGAATTTGAATTCAGGAGCCTCAGAGGCCAGAAGCCTGGGACCCTCCAGGAACTAGAGTTATACTCAGCTCTAAGCAGTCAAACATGGGTTCTGAAAACTGAACTCAGATCTCCTGCAGTAGCTCCACATTTTCTTAACCCCAGAAAAATGTTTTTACATGAGAATCCAGATTCAGAGAAATATGCGCTGGGCACGCCTGTGATCTCAGCACTGGGAGATGGAGGCAGGAGGATCAAGGTCTCTCTGAGCTAGAGAGCAAGTTCAAAGACAGCCTAGCCTCCACGAGACCCTCTCAGAGAAAAAGAGAAAGCAAACAAAAAACAAACAAAATACAAATCAAGATTCACATGATCAAAGTGATGAGAATTCTCTCAACAAATACCAAAAGAGTAATATTATACAAACAGCAGTCTGATTATAACTGATTTAACTTAGAAAACAATCAATCTCACCGGCAAAATGCAGCATTTCTAGGAATAAATCAAGGCTTTATACTTTTCTGGATTATGAACATCAATAAACAGAAATAATTTCACAGAGATAAAAAATATGCTAGGCAACTAAAAGTTTGCAACATCAGAGCAATGTGTTGTTGTCTCAAATCTACCCCAAAACATCACCAAACTAACTTGTGGAAATAGACAAGCTGACTCTAAATTTACATAGAAATAAATGAACATAACTGTGCAAGACTTTAGAAAGACAGATACGAAAAATAAAAAAAAAATCCCACTCCACTAGAACACAAGACTGATAGCCAGGTACCAATATGTGAGGAACAGAGCACGCAGGGATAGAGAGGCTGGTTGAGGAGCTCAGAAGCATGACCTCCCTCTCACAATTCCAGCCAGGACAGGCTTGGACTATAAATCCTATTTTGCCCACCAAATCCTATTTTAAAATAGTGAGCCAATTTTCTTTGATGAAGTATACTACCTGATACCATACCCTAAGATAATTTTAGTTCAATAAATTCTACTAGGACAGAAGCAGGAAAACAAAATGGGTGATTAATTCAGACCGATTATCAAAATACTTTTTTCCCCGTAGAGGTAAATTTTGATAAGAATCTTCTTAAGGAAAAGCAATATGTAAATGAAAATTTCCAACTGTGAGCAGCATACTCTGGGAATGGCCAGCCAGTCTGCAGAACCAAACAGTAAAGAGAGCTACAGATGTCCGTGGCTGTGCTTCACCTGGTCCTTGCTTCATCCCAGCAGAAATCCTCAGGACACCTCACTGCTCTCACCCACCACTGCTTAGCTGTGAAAAGAAACGAAAGCAGTCCTCAAAGGCTTGTCTTACCTTTGCTCTTGGTCCCTGGGTGTCTTGATCCTGGGTCCTGGCAGGTGGTTTGCCTTTGTTATGCACACTGGGGATGACCTGTCAACACCAAAGAAAGGAGAAAGGGAGGGGAAAGAATGAAAGATGAGCTAGCTCAAATGTCTTCTTCAAAACTTGGTGTGATGGTGCACACCCATAATCCTAGCAGGAGGATCCCAAGCTTGACTGAACTACACAGTGAGCTCAAGGCCACTTTGGGAGAAGTAGTTCCAAAAGAAAACTAAAAGTAGTTTCAAAAGAGAAAAAGTGGTGCACGCCTTTAATCCAGCACTCCAAAGGCGGAGACCTGAGGATCTATTTGAGACTGAGGCCAGCCTGGTATACACAGCAAGTTCCAGGGCTACATACTGAGAACATGTCTGTGTGTGTGGGGGGGAATATCCCCCTCTCTTTCTGGTTAGTGTGGTATGGGTGACTTTTCTCACTGTGTAGCTCAGGTTGTTCTAGAACTTGCTGTGTAGTCTAGGCTAGCCTCACACTCATCTTCCCAGTTTGGGATAAGAGGTAAGTGCTATGGAGATGGAGGCCATGCATTGGGCTTCAATACATTCCTTTTTGTCTTCTTCATATCTATTTTTATCTTTATCGTACCTTTCATTGAATATATGTCTGTATATGTCTATATAAATAATGCTTAAGTTTTCCAAAATTAACAATGAATTTTCTGCAGTAATCTTGGAAGTTTCCAGGAAGAAGATGGGGAATCACAGCAACTCCACCTGGCTGATATACGATGTCAGGATGCTGATAGCACTACTACAAGACCTGTTTTGGGTACCAGCTGCACAAGATGGTTCCAACTTGGTTTGCTGAAATAGTGCACATTTTTACAATGTTCTGGCTAGACCTTCACAAAATACTCAGAGACTATTTGCAATCATACTAGACATTCATCTTGAACTTTAACCATCATTGTACTTTTACTGGATCCCATAGAATGAACAATGCCCCCATGACAGCTATAAGTAATTGGTATGAGCTTACTCACACTAATAATAATAGTGAGTAATAGAGTGAACACTTGTGAGTCATTATTTATAGACAATTACATTGGTATAGATTCTTGAATATTGATACAAAGTTAAATTATATTGAATATTGTATGCATGCATGCTTCTACCTCTGTTTAAAACATTTTTTATATATTGATATATACTTACCATATTGCGATGTACATTTCTACCTCTGATCAAGATACTTATACATTGTTTACATTTGGAGGTCATTGTACTCATTTATTGCATAGTTGTTTATTGTCTTAGTCTTTAAGTTATATAGGTATTAAGAATTATAGATCATTAGTCATCTATGTCATACTTATAGTTAGACTAATCAGGTTCTTTAGAGACATAGAGATTATATTCTGTACAGATAGATAATCTTCAATCACTTCAAAGAGCTGTAGAAAATGGCATTTAAATAGCTTAGAGTTCTGTTGAGATGAGACACGATTGCTCCTGGCAGCACCAATCTGTTCCCGAGAGAATGATGAGCACTGAAGACACTCCAGTTGGAGCTTGTTTTCTTCTTGGCAACAACTGGCCTTTGGGCAAAGAAATGTCCATGCCTTAACCACTGACAAAATACATAGTATCCAGAAATGGATAAGCAGGACTGTCAAATCTTGCCAACACAGGGTAAGACGGCTTTAAAAATTTCTTGTCTTTGAAAATAGTCTGTCAGTTATTCTAGGTCTTAGACAAAGTTGGTTGCTTCAACATTGCAAATGAGACTTTGGGTGATTGTCCAGGTAGCAATGTCTCTGCCATTTGTTGCACGTTTTGGAAGTTGCTTGATTGCACTTCCTACTTACTCAAGTAATATTATTTCCCTTCTCGGATCTTTGATGGGGTTGAAGACTAGATAATTGTAGTTACTTTCCTTCCATGACTTGGCCAAGTTATTTATTATACAAGACTTAAGCTAGTTAGAATAGGATATTTGTTCTTATTGTATATAATTTTGAATTAGGCTTACAACTCTCTTATTTAAACAAAAGGGGAAGGTGCTGCAGGAGGGTTTACAGCTTGTAATTACCCGCCTACTGGGGCGTGGCCTCTTATACTATATACCTGGACACAAAAGTGCATCCGGCCCCTTTTTTCTCCTGCTGTTGGTTTCCGTTTGCTCGTTTCAGATTGTTTGAATTCCATCTAGATCCACTGTTCAAGCAGAAAATACGGATTTGTAAGTTTTTCCCTAAATAAATGACTATCTATTTCTCAATTCTGAGCTAGTGTGGGATTTCTTTTAAGCGTCTGATCACCAGAACAGGTGACTTCATCTCAAGGTAAATATATGAGAAGTTCAATTCAAGGCAATCAGCAAAAGTAGGTAAAGTGGAGAAAATCTGCATTATAAAATCATGTCACCAGAACAAATAAAGATTTGTGTGTAAGGTGAAGACAGAAAACTACAAAGCTCGACCACTGTCATTTAAATATCTAATTCTGCAAAGGAAGTTTCAGTAGTGACTTAAGTGAGATGTTAGAATATAGGACCCCTCATTTATTTGACCTCTGAACTCCCAGCAGAAATATGTTATTTAACAGACTTCATGGACTTGATAATTATCTATCACTGTTAGCAGAAGGACAAATTACAAACATTTCTACTATCAAATGAGAAAATGAGCTGGATATTGTTTTTTATTTTTTTGTAATTTCTGTGGTGTGCAGACAAGGTCGAATACATAGTTGAATTCAATAAGCATTTATTTATAAAAAATAAAGTTCAAACTTATTTTTTAAATTTTATATATTTATTTTTTATTTCATGAATGTTTTGCCTGCATGTATGCATGTGTTTGATGCAAGTGTGCCTATTCCCTATAGAGGTCAGAAGAGGGCATCAGATCCCCTGGAAGAGGAGTTATAGGCAGTTGCGAGCCAATATACAGGCACTGGAAATTGGATCCAGGTAGAATGCAAGAACACCCAGTTCTCTTAACCATTGAACTATCTCTCTAGTCCCCTGAAGTTCAATTTTATATTAAAAAAATTCTTAGTAATGCTAACAGCACGACTTTCTTATTTTGTTTGGTTATTTTTTTTGACACAGAACCGCACTCATTATTCCAGGGCTACTTAGAACTCTGTATAGCCCAGGCTGGCCTCCAGTGTGTTGGTGAGCTATCATGCTTAGTTAAAGGTACAGATGGCTTGTCCTCCTGGTTCTTCCTCTGCAGCAGCTGCCTCTGGCATCTGGCTGCTAATTCCCACCCAAATAATGTCTCTTTGTAATGTTATCTATGAGACACCATAAAAAAATAATAACATTTTTAGTGTTTGTTTTCTTTTCTAGTCCTAGAGATTGAATCTAGAGCCTCACCCATGATAGACACTCTACTCCTAAACACTAGTAATGGTTAGGAGACTCTTCAAATGGCCAACAGACACAATTATGGCATAAAACCTGATGGCTGACATGAAGGTAGGGAAAAAAAATCCTTTCAGAAAATTAAAGGAACTGCCTGTCTAGAGAACATTAAAAGCAAAACAAAAATTACCTACTTTGAGCTAAATGCGAATGACATTTTACTCAATTTTATTCTACTAAATAAGCAAATTCAGAAATAGTAAGGTCTCAGAAATGTTTCACTTCAATAAAAACACCTGTAATAAGTTCTTCAAAAGACTTATTTTTATTCATATGTATGTGCCTATGTGTATGCGCACATTCGTGTCCATGTGTCTGTGTATGTATCCATGTGTCTGTGTAACTGTGCATGTGTGTGTGCATGTCTGTGCCCTCAAAGGCTAGAAGAGGGTGTCAGATTCCCTGGAGTTGGTGTCACAGTTGTGAGCTGCCCAACATGGGTACTAGGAACCAAACCTGGTTTCTCTGCAAGAACAGCAAATGCTCTCAGCCGCTCCAGCTCCAGCAACACCTTCAATGTACAGTCAGAGCTTCCTCATCAGCACAGCGTTCTGCACTTTGTCTCACTCACAGACACAAACAACCTGCTGGAGTACAAGGTCACAGCCTGCGGGCAGGTGGTTCTGGACAGACGCCAGAAACAGCACAATCTGGGACTACTTCCACTCACGACAAAAGCAGGCCAAGACAGAAGGCATGCGGAGCAGTCAGTTGCCTCTCATGATGTCTACATTCTGAACAGCGAACAGACTATTGCATATGCTAATCACCGGCAAAGCTCAGAAGATAAAATGCTCACCAAAAGTAGTACCTCCTATAGGAAAATAGAACGCCATCTATTTAATGTAACAACGAAAGATGAATTTTTATGGTGCACGTACCAAAAGAAGGGCACCATTCTAAAGTCATGTGATAAGGAAGTACAGCCAGGGTAGAAAGAAAGACAACAGCACATCATACTGCTTCTGGGGGAATTAGATGGTCTAGCACATAGCTGTACTCACTAAGTGTTAGAGATGAATGAAGCTCAATTTTAACTCTTAACAATGCTTAAGGGATGGCTGAGGAGATGGCAACAATTTCAAAGGTTTTTTTTTTTGTTGATGGAAGGGGGAGGGGCGAGGATAGGAAAAATATACACAATGCTACTATCAAAGGTACTTAAGTTATTTCATGAGAAAAACCTTGGCATAGAAACTTCCCAAAGGGAAATGCAGTAGGAATAAACCATAGGCTCTGATCACAAATGAACAGGTGAGGAAGTGCTGTAAACAGCTGGGATTCAGAAGTTCAGAAAGGGACGTGTTTGAGATAGTTCTGGTGTGGCACATGAACTGCTGTATGGTTGATGGTGCTTAGTTTTTCGGCACAAAAATACTTTTACGTTATAGTATTAGGAAATCTTCTTTTAGAGTTTTGAAGAAAGTTCAAAATTTAGTGTGAACTGGTCAAAATGTTTAAGACAGCTGGGCAAGGGGGCCCACACTTGTAGCCCTAGCTACCGACATGGAAGGCAAGAGGTCAGGAGTTTGAGGTCATCTTGGACAACTCAGAAAGACTTTGTCTCAAATAAAAACTAGGGGCTGAAAGTAGGAAGTTCGGGGAAGGGTGCTTGCCTAACATGCGAGACACTCTGGGTTTGATCCCTAGCCCTGGAGACTAATTTAATAAAATTAAATTTGGAAGGGTGGGGATGAGTGCAAAGTAGCTCAGGAGTCCAACGCTGTCAGGAAACTGTGAAGGTGTTCTCTGCACCTGCCACCCTCCACCCGAAGACTTGTGGCAACAATCAATCCAAACCCCTTTAGCAAAAGCTTGAAACGTGATTGTATCATTGGCTCAGGGATTACTCCGTGCTGAACCAGGTTAAAAGCAGAGCAAGTCAACCTAGTGACTAACACCATCAGTTAGCATACACTCACAGCTGGAGGCCAGAGGCTACAGTGTGGCACCCTGCTCTGCTTCCTGGACCAGGTGACATGGGTATGGGAGGATGTTCAGGAGATGCTCCTGTTTTTATTGGCGAGTTTATGTCACCCACTGAAAACCTCGTATCTCAACTCACCAGTGAAAGCTACTAGAGACTCGACATTTTTAGTTGAACCTGTAACATACTCAAATGTTCTAAACATTTTTCAACTGGGCACTTATGGTGGTCACATAATGTATATCCAGGATGAACCATTTTCACTCACAATTGTTTATTTGGAAGTACCATTTGGCAAAGAACAGTGTGGCTAAATTTCCTATTGAATGCAGTTCTAGAAATAAAAGCAAAGTCACAATGCCACTCTCAATATTGTAAAATACAGTTTAAAAACAACTCCAAAAAAGCCTAATTGAATCTCAAATCATATAAAAATCAGAGGTCTCAGTTGGTCTTGCTGGGGTGAGCGACACACTAAGGATGGAAGGCACAGTGGTGGCACACAGCAACACAGTAGAGTTGCCCACTCTGACCACGGCTGCAGCCCACTATGCAGAAACTGCTCTCCTGCAGGCAAAGCACCCCATTAAAACTGGGGTGCTAAGACAGCTGGTGATGCACTTGCCCTGCTCTCCACACAAGTATTAGCATCAATATTCCCTGAAGGACTACATTATAGTATTGAGACACAAGAAATACTACAACTGTGTAGCTTTTCTACTGTTCAGAAGTACACGTTCTTCCAATTCTAGGATTCAAGCTACTCAGAAATATAGAGCTGCCACTGATACCTTTGTGTCAGAGGTCTGATTCTACTAAGTGAGTGGTTATCACATGACCACACAGCACTGACAACATAGCTCTCTTTACATGACTCAAACATACAAGCATATGATGGCTCCTCTACAAGGTTTTTATACCTGACCCTTTCCAACCTCAAAATAACTAAGAAAATTGAGATAGTGTGTCTCTGTGTTAGCAGAACCAGCAAGCAGGACGGGACTAGAAAGAGGACTGTGTGATTCACAGGTTTGTTTAAAGTAATGTATGGTGTCATGACTGAACTTTGGCTAGCAGATCAAAATTGGGTCTAAAAACGGAAACTGAAGGGAAAAGTTAAATCCATACTGAGTTACTAATTTTTTCTACTAGTAAAACCAAGCAACAATGAACATGTGGGACTACTGGGGGACAAAGCTCAGAGGTGAAAAGAACAGGACACTGTACTGACCCTGGGGGTGGATGATAGGCTCTGTACCACGAACACCACGGGGTTGCCTGCGTTCTTGATGGCCTCCACGGCTTCTGAATGCGAGGCATTCTGCAGGTCTATGCCAGACACCTAAAACTCACAAGACGACACTCTGATTAGAAAGGCACCAGATTGTGAACAGGTTAACTCAAGTTCATGTGTATCAATCATCCTGTGTGTGAGAAAAGCCAGAAACGAATGAGCTAGACCACATCCAGGAAGTGGAAACAACTACAAAGGAAATGCTCTACTTTTTCACAGTGTGATTCGGGAAAACCATGCTTTCACCTGGGGCAGGGCAAAGCGGACAGTTCCATTATAACAATAGTCCCACTTTCATATAATGACCCTGAACTGGAAGCTGATCAGGTTGCACTCCCGGGAGGTCTCTGCAATAGCACAGGGCTGTATGTAACAGAAGCCTTATTAGGAGTGGGAGTGAGGAACCTTCTGAACTTTTACTGTATTTCCGTTAAATTGAGGGTTACTTAAACTATTATTACAATGCAGAAACTGAATACTTCCCAATTTGTGTTAACAAAATAAGTGTACAAACATGCACAGGTTCTTTTGCTTATTATGGAAACTCAGAGAGCCGAACTTGCTAGCATCTCCACAGTTCTCTAAGAGCACAGAACCAGGGTTTCAAATCCAGTACAGAGCAACACCTTAACTGTGAGGTGGTTTTAGCCAGCGGGGAGGTGAGCGCTTTGTTTCAAAGGCATGAAGAGAAGTATGGAAGGATGAGGCAGGCGTTCCCCTAGCAGACCCCAGAGTGACAGGTGGAAATGGCTGATGGTGGGAAGAGCTAGGGACAAAACTGCAACACCAAATCCTGGTTCTTCTCGGCTGTAGAATTAGAAAGCAGGAATTCCTCTGATCACATGAATGAAGACCTATCTCTCAGAAATAAACCCTGGCTTCTTAAAGACATTCTTATGTACCTAAGTCAATCATGTAATTGCTTAAAAACAACTGTTTACAACAGACAGACAGAACTCATCATGGGCTTAAGTAAAATCAAATGAAATAAAAACTTTATAATAAGAATCACAGTAAAAGAGCAAACAAACGATTCATTACATTTGATACAATGGATGTAAAATGTAACTCTGAATGCCACTGTGAGCTTGAAAAGAACTAGCAGATAAGGTGGGAAAAATCATTTTATTTATTTAAAGATGTGATTTATGTGATATGTGTACATATGTCACATATATGCAGGTACTTGAAGATACCAGAAGAAGGTATCAGATCCCCTAAAGCTACTGTCATAGCTCTAGTGTGGGCAACATGACGAAGATACTGAGAACATACAAGGTCCTACATTATAGAAGTAAGGGCTCCTAACTGCTGAGACACCTCTCAAATTCCTAATTTATAGAAGACAAAGCAAAAGGCCACCAGAAAGCAGGTGAAAGGCAGGCTTGAGGGCTTCGCTGCAGAGGATAAGCTCATGAAAACAGACACCACGGAGCCAGGACAGAACTGCAAACTAGAACCACAATGGTGTATCACTGTATACCTGTTAGAATGGCCAAACTGACAACACCGCCACCAGATTGAGAATATGAACAAACTGGATCATTTACTCGTGGCTTATAGGGATATAAAATGGCTCAGTCACTCCTGAAAATAGTTTGATAGCTCTATTCAAATTTATAAATGAACTTAATATGAAGTCTAGCAAGCAACATTTGTACATTTCCCAGAGAAATAAAGACTTGCTTGTATTTGGTAATTACACACCCTGTTTGGTGACACACACCTATAATCTTGGCAGGAGGTGAAAGTGGGAAGAATAGGAGTTTAAGGCCAGCCTCAGCTGCAAACAGGTTCAAAACCAAGATGGGCTACAGGGAACTACAGATATCTACTCTGGTATCATCCAACAAGCCCAATGCACTTTTAGTGTTTTCATGTCCATTTAAAGTTTATTTCACAGGACTAGAGAGCTCTCTTAGCAGTTAAGAGCATTTGCTGCTCCTACAGAGGACCTGGGCTCAGTTCCAACCACCTATATAGTGACTAACAACCAGTTTCCAGATTATCTAAAGCCTTTTTCTGGTCTTTGCAGTCTCCTGTACTCACAAGATACACATAAATTCATGCAGCACTCACACATACACATAAAAATAATAAATAACGAGTAAAGCTTTAAACTAGATAAGATTTGTCTCCCATAAAACTGAACATCTGTGACCCAAGGACCATGTGATCCATCCCCTTCCAAGGTCAACTTCTTTCTGTAGACAAGATACAAGAACAAACACCAGAACTTGCTAAAGGTTCTGGGTTCTGGGAAGCAGGTGTCCACCTGTTCTACATGCAGTGCAATGCTAAATGCTTCAGTCAGCTGGGGCTCTTGCCTTATCATTTTACTCGCTCTCCCCTCAAAAGCTAGAGGCGTTCAGATAGTGTGCATACGGTATTCAAACTAAGGCATCACAAAAGGACATTACCAATTGGATCCAATTATACTAAACATGAGGTTTACCAAAGTGATTCTTCTGCTGATTCAAACGTTTCAAGTTAAACATTGTTTCAACTTCACTTACCTCAAGTATTTTATCTCCAGTTTTAAGTGCATTGGTTTTTCCTGCAGGACTATCTTCTAACACTTGTTTGATGAATATACCCTTGAGCTCCTCTCCATTCTTTAAGCGTTTTATAACTGTTTGTCCACCAACAATGCTGATACCAAGAGACACGTTAGGTTCTCTAAAAATCTCAACACTGTAAAAGGGACAAAGAAGCACACTCATGAATAAGGTAATTTAACTTGCTAAGTTGTCACTTTAAGTGCTCCATCTATTGCACAGCCTGTGGCTCGTGTTTTATTAAAATTTCCTAATGTACTTTAAAGATTTTATATAAATGATACTAGCTCAAAAACGATAAGACACTCAAAATTTACGACATGTAAAAGTTTAAATTTTGAAAAGACACTCAGGGATGGGCTCGCTAAGACTTAGCGTGCCTCTCTCCTTTCACTGCACCACCAGTCATTTCACTCATATGCACACCCTTAGTAGGGAGACTCTGAGCAAATAACAGAGGTGGAGACTGAAGAAGGCGCATATTCATTTTAATAAGGCCTCAGCTTTTCAGAGTAAAATAAACTTGCTAGAGTGGCTTACATCCACTGCTTTTCCCAGAGAGGTTTGAGGGTGAGGATCTCTGTAGAAGGCAAATGGTATCTGCTTTTAAGGCTAAAAGGGTTTCTTTGCTTTTGACTTCTGCATCATTGTTTTTGTTTGCTTGCTTCTGTATGTGAGACAGGGTCTCGCCGTATAGCTAGGCTGACCTTCAACTGGCATTCTTTATGTTTGGGATCCTGAGTGCTAGGACTACAGGAAAGTGCCATGATATCACTTAAACAGCCATACAAATACCCAAACAAACATTTGGTTTTATCCAAAGACACTGTGAAAAGGAATATGAAATTTGTTCCTATATAAATTTTACTTTAACTATAGAAGTATGACTAGTAGTTAACTCAATTTAAAAAATTACTCAGAAAATATGTCTTCAGAGTCATTAAGACAAAACTTGGGAATTGTAAGATGATAGGTTGAGGGGTGTGGAATTAACACAGCATAGAAACAGAAAGAGGCTACTGAAGGACTTTAATAACCATAAAATGTTGGCATCCTGACAAGTACAATACATGCAATCACATGCAAGAGAAGATGAGTTCATTCTGTAAGCCCAAACCAGACACAAATGCATCCATGAGGAGGGAGGGAGAGAGAGGCTGGTAGGTGAGAAAAGCCTCAATTACTGTCTCCAGCACTGTAGCATCAGGGCACCCAAGGCAGCACAACCTCACTTACAGCTGACACATGATAAAGCAGGACATCCATCAGTGGCTACTCTCAGAGGAACATTTGGAAGGTGCTTTCTCTGAGACTGCATCAAAGAGTTATTACTAGCTAAACAGTCTTTAGCCCAAAGAAGGGATTAAAATTTAGCATAAAGGATATTACTTAAGTCTCAATTACAGTGTGACTAAGTGTCTTAGTCATGGTTTCTTTTGATGTGATACTACACCAGGACCAAAAAGCAAGTTGAGGAGGAAAGAGTTTATTTGGCTTAAACTTCCACATTGCTGTTCATCACTGAAGGAAGTCAAGACAAGAGTCCTAACAGGGCAGGATCCTGAGGCAGGAACTGATGCAGAGGCCATGGAGGGGAGCTGCTTACTGGCTTGTTCCCCAAGGCTTGCTCAGCCTGCTTTGCTAAAGAATCCAGAACCACCAGCCACAATGGACTGAGCCCTTCCCATCAATCACTATTAAGAAAATGCCCTCCAGCTGCATCTTATGGAGGCAATTTCCTAACTGAGGGTCCCTCCTTTCAGATGACTCTAGCTTGTGTCAAGTTGACGAAAGACAAGGCAGCAGAATAAGAAAATAAATAAATAAATAAAACAAAACAAAAAAAACTGAAAAAAAAACAAGGGTGTGCTTGTACTGGGGACAGTAATGGCACACACTCACATTCTTGGTGGACCCCAGTGGCTGAAGTTCGGCGTTTCCTCCCCTTCACCTTCCTCTCTCTCTGGTAACTCACTGTAAGGGGAAACACAGCACTTATAAGACACATTCTTATTCTTAAAAGTTCCTGGAAGTTCCAGAATTTCATGATCTATAGGTAATTAATTAATTTTTAACCCTTTTAAAGTATTCACATCAATAAACAGACAAAGCAAGCATTCACTGCTTTAATAGTCAACCCAGCAACCCCGACCCCCCATAGCTCCAGGACATCACACAATGATTACAACCTTGTGAAATATGAAGCTCTTTTCAAAAAAGTTTGCCTTAATTTGTACAATTTCACATTTGCCATGTCATCAATATATAACAGCTTTCTGTCGTTCTATAAAGAGTCTCACTTTGTAACCCAGGCTGGCATCAAAGATGCATCCATCTATTTGCCTCAACCTCCCTAGTTACCATACACAGTAATGGATTTCATAATGACACTGTTGTACATGTCAGACATGTGTCTCGCATGTCATACACTCTGCTCTTATTTACCTCCCTGTCACACTCCCTAGTACCTTCCTAGTGGTCCTACACACCGCTCCTCCAGCTGCTTTCATCTCATCTACACTGTTCTGCATCCCTTCCCTCCCTGTGGATCTCTACCTCCCTTTGCAGTAAACCTCCTAGTTTGATCTGTGTCACATGTACACAATCAAGTGTAGACAAATGTATCAATCTAAACCTCAGCTCCATGTGAGAGAGAAAACATGCAGCACTCATCTTTCTGAGTCTAGCTTATTTCACATTGCACAACAATCTCTAGTGCATCTATTTTCCTGCAAATGTCATTATTTCATTCCTTACAGCTGAACAAAATCCCTTGTGTGTTGGTATCACATTTCCCTTACCAGTTCCACTCTTATTGGACATTTAGGCTAGCTCTATAAATTAGCTGCCATGAATAGTGCAGCAATGAACATGGATGTGGGAGCGTCTCTGTGGCATGCTGACTCGGAACATACAATATATACAGTAGCTGCAACATACTGTTTTTTCTGGAACCTCCGCACTGATTTCCACAGTTGTGGGACCAGATTAAAGGCCCACCATGGAGCACAAGGTTGCTCCTTTTCCACATCCTCACCAGAACTGTGGTTTTCTTCATGACAGATATGCTGACTGGATGAGACAGACACTCAATGTAATTTTACTTTGAAATTTCATCATGGTAAAGAATATTGAAGAATATATTTTCAAGTGCTTATTGAACAACCTTATCTCTTCCACTGAGAAATACATATTCAATCTATTAGCCCATTTAATGATCAAATGCTTTTGGAGGAATATAATTGTTGGAGTTCTTTATAGACTCGAGATTCCTGTATGACAAATAGCTGGGAAAGCTATCCTGGCATTCTGGAACTGCCTCTTCTCTCTGCTGAAGGCTTCCTTGTCTGTGCAGATTTTTAATTTCATTCAGTATCATTTGTGAATTCTTAAGGTTTCACCTATGCCACTGGAGCCCTTTTCAGAAAGCCCTTACCTACGCATACCTGAAAGAGTCCTGCCCATGTTTTCATTGAGTAGTTTCAGACTTTCTAGTTTTACATCACGGCTTTTGATACAGTAATAGATTTTGGTGCAAGGTGAAATAGGAATTGAGTTTCACTCAGTTCCTTAGTACCTTTGTTGAAGAGGCTGTCTAGATGAATGGGTGTGTGCCTCAAGGTGTGTATGGGGGTCAGGGGACAAGTTGTGGGAGTTGTGTCTCTCATTCTGCCAAGTGGGTCCTCGTATTGAATTCAAGTCTTTAGTTTGGCAGGTGCTTTTTACCTGCTGGGCCAACTTGTCAGTGTGTTTCCCATTTAAAAATTTTTCATTACATATATTTGATATGTAAGGTACTGTGCTATCTGCTGATATCTTCATAAAAGTGTATAAGTTGAGTATATTCCCTTCAAGCTTCCCTACTCTACCCTTTCTTACCTACTCCAGTTAGTTCCAATTGTTTCTCTACACAATCAGACTTCTACTTTCATTTATTGCTTTATTCATTTTGCACACCAACTACAGTTCCCTCTCCCTCCCTCCACCCATCACCCTACCCCCTATCCACTCCCCAGAAAGCATAAGGCCTCCCACAGGGAGTCAATGAAGACTGGCACATCAAATTGAGACAGGAACAACCCCCCCACCCACATCAAGGCTGAGCAAAGCATCCCACCACAGGGAATGGGCTCCATAAAGCTAGTTCATACACAAGGGATAAATCCTGTCAAGGGCCCCACAAACAGACCAAACACAAACTGTCAGCCATATGCAGAGGGCCTAGTTCGGTCTCATGCAGGCTCCCCAGCTGTCAGTCCAGAGTCCGTGAGGTACCATGAACTCAGGTCATGTCTCTGTGGGTTTCCCCTTCATGACCTTGACCCCTCCTTGCTCATAAATCCCTCCTCTCTCTCTTTAACTGGACTCCAGGAGCTTAGCCCAGTGCTTGGCTGTAGATCTCCGCATCAGTTTCCACCAGTTACTGAACGGGGGTTCTATGATAGGGAAGTCACCAATCTGATGACAGAAGTCCAGTTCAGGCTCCCTCTCCACTATTGCTAGGAGTCTTAGCTGGGATCATCCTTGTGGATTCTTGAGAATTTCCCTGGCACCAGGTTTTTCCCTAAGCCTAAAATGGCTCCCTTTCTCAAAATACCTCTTTCCTTGCTCTCCCTCTCTGTCCCTCCCCCAACTCGACCATCCTGCTCCCTCATGCGCTCATCTCCTATCCTCTCCCCTCTCCACCCCACCACTCCCAGTTTACCCAGATTTCATCTATTTCCCCTTTGGAGGGTGATCCATGCTAGACTTCTACTTTCAAATGATATATAGATACACGATTTTATGTATCAAAATAGAATCCAGCAACTATATAAGAGAGAAAATATACATTAATTGTTTTCCTGGTTATTCAGTTAATAACTCGGGTTGCATCCAGTTTCCTGCTGATGACATAACCTCATTATTCTCTGGGGTTGATAAGAATTCCACTGTATGTATTCACCACATTTTCCTCATCGGCTTCTCTGCTGCTGGGCAGTGAAGCCGATTTTAAAATTTAGCTACTAGGAACAATGCTGCAGTAGACATGGGAGTGCAAGACTCTCTCATGTGCTGGCTTAGAGTCCACTGTGCAAACACCTAAGACTGGCAGCGGTGGAAATCATGTGATAGATCTTTTTTTTAAAGAAGTTGCAAACCCAATCTCCACAATGGGGACTAGTTCCCTTTCCTGGCAGCAGAAAGTAACCTTTGTTCAGATTCTCATCAGCATTTGTTCATTTTCCTTTTAAATTCCAAATGCAGGTCTTCCACCTCAAGTTAATCTCGAGGCTCTGAAACCTTGTTTAATTTGCTATGATTTTATCCTATCATTATTTTAAAACAACAACAAAGAAATGCTACAATTGAGTATTTTATTAAATTCAGCAAGGTTCCTGAGGTCATGAAACAATCAATATATTGCCTTTTCCATTACCAGCTCCTTTGGACAATGGCACTGCACCAACCTGTTCTATGCATTTTCTCCAGCTTTACTGACAGTTGATTATACATCTTCATGCACATTTTTTATTTATTTTGTAGAACTACCTACTTTACAGTGAGGAAACAAAACTGGAGGGAAACCCTCTCAGCATCACATAATCATAAAGCAAGAGAAGGAAGACATGAACGACACCTATAGCACTGTGGACCCGCTAGTCTGACCGTCAGCACCATCCACACGCTGTGGATACCTATATGTCTTCAAGTATCAGATAATGGAAGAAAGGCTAAAGCCAGGTTAGTTCTAAAGATGGGCTCCCAGGTGACCTTAGAAAATGAGAAGAAAATTAGGATAAGCGTATCTGGGTCCCCTCTGCAGTATTCCCGTTGCCAGGAATGTCCTGGCTTAAGACATCTCCACATTTGAGATGTATACAACCTCTTGATAGAAGTTCTACTCCCAAAGGCAAGAAGCTACAGTTAAGGTGAAGACAAAAGCAAAGAGTCTTGGCTTCAGCACAGACAGACCTCTGCAGAGTCATACCTAAAATTACTAACAGGAAGAAACTTTAAAATGCCATTTAGTATCAGGACACTGGGGGAAAAAAGGTTCCCCAGTGGAGAAAATAGTTACCTGTGAGCCTCATGCCCAAGCCTTGCCTTTTCATATTAGGAAAAGAGAGCAAATGCAGTTCACAGGAGCTCCTCTGAAATCTGCTGAAATTTAAACACTTTCCAAATCTCTGACAGTAAACCCAAAGCCAACACTGAAATTCAAGACTGGTCTCCTGAAATGAAGGTAAGCTTTCAGTCTAAATGCCTGGGCCTGCCTCAGTGCTCACTTGAGGAAAAGCAGCAGAGTGCATCGTCCCTGTGTGAGGCTGGGACAACTAAGCAATGCACACCTACTATGTGCAAAAGAAACAGGCCAGACCTGTGTTTAGATCCCTTCTATTTCTTCAGTTAACAAACTACAGTTTAGAGAAAACACTCCATTTCTACCAAATTCAACTAGCAACACTAAGTACAAGACAAACTAAAACAACCAAAGGCAATTCACTGACATGTGGTTAGACCACATAAAAAGTCATAAATTATGTGCTCAGCCCTTCCACTCTAAGGTATGTTTCTAGGAAAAAATAACTATTGCTGACTTATCCGTGTGTTTCCTTCTGTGTGCTGCCCTGCATCTGCATGTATACATATATACATACATGGATATCATCATACATAATAAAATATAAGTAAGTGTGCGGAGTGTGTGCATGTGTGGATACATCCTCTTTGTCTTGAATTATCTGGGCACTATGCATTTTACTAGCCTCATTGCATGGCCAGGATTCTCAACATTACCCTGTTTCTGTCACGTCCAACTTCTGACCTTTCTATTCCATGCTCAACTGTTTGATTTGCATCCAGCACCATAACAACAACACAAGAAAATACAGACAAAGCTGCCCTGTGCTTATGGAGCCCCATGGAAATACTTCTCTTGGCTTCTCTTTGGTCTCTCTGTAGCTCTTCTCCTGTTTTGCAATTCTTCAACTTCCCTACACCTTTTCTCCCCCCCACCACCTCTCCTTCCTCTCTCTAGCCAGGCCTAGAGCACCTCATGTGACTCGCACTCTTCGCACTACTTGAGTTTCCCTGGATGATCCTTCAAATCTGGGAGCTTCATCTATACTTGACCATGTTCTCAGTGACATGACAGAACACATATTAATCCCAGATTGATAGATCTAATGGATTCCATTCACTTCGTAGATTTAGGGATGTTTTCCCAACATGTCCCCAACTAACCTGATAACTTTCCTACCAACCTGTCTATAGGTCTTTATCTTGTCAAAAAATTATCTCCTGCTATCTAGCTTTCTGCTCCAGAACCACATGTCTTATAAACTGTCATTAGACACTATTCCCTGCAGATTCTCTGATGCTTGAGAGTCTGCACATCCTTTTGTCCTCAAGAGCACTTGCTGGCCTGTATGCAATCCATTTTGTGAATAAAAAATATAAAATTCTATTTGTGACCTAATTTCAAGAACTATGAAAACTTCTAATTTTCTAATGCAGATTTAATCATAAGATCCTTTTGTATTTTCTAAATGTTACATTAATCGTGCACATTTTTGTAAACAAAAGCCAAACCAGGAACTAGCCATAGGGGGTAGGGAATGCAGGGGAGGGTCTGTAGGGTGGGAAATGAGAATAAAGGGCAAAGTCACATATGTGAGAAAAAGACACGATGAAACATATTACCTTACATGACAACTTAATGGTAATTAATAGTAAATACACTACTCTGCATCACTTAATAACAGCTTTTTAAAGGAAGAAGAAAAATGAACACACTATACCATGCAGCACTCGCATATCTTGAAGACACTGTTCCCATGTATGATGAAGGCCTAGAGACAACCCGGGCACTGGGCAGTCGGTACAAAGGCAAATCTTCTTGCTCCCTCCTTTGGGTAACAGCTGGAAGATCGACAAGCATGTCAGGACCTTGGGCATCACTTGGAATCATCATGCCTAAAGAATACAGATGATGGGAAATCAACATACAGTCAGTAATTCAACACACTTTTAAGGACTCTCACTGTAGGTATGACACTTCCAGCTAGGAGATGGAGGACATTAAAGTACTTAAGGGAAAGCCTTAATGCCCAGGGCAGAAAGCACCACTGAAAAATGAAGCAAGGAAGGTGCTGAACAGAGGAAGGTTACATTTCCAGTGTGCCTCGTGGGAAAACAAACAAATGAACAAAACTAGGTACTTCATCAATAACATTACTTTATCAAAAACAAAACAACAAAAAAACTCTCTTATGTTTTCTAATCTTACTGCAAAGCTTTCCTTTCTCACCCAAGGCTATTCTGGTCATGGGTACTTTGGCATTCACTCAGTTAAACAAAATGACCCCATGGAATAACAACTAAGTAAGCATTACATTTGAAAGGCTTAGTTTAAAAACTTCAGAATTTATTTTTCTATCTGTTGACTCATTCTATTTTTACATAAAATTTTAAGAAAGGCATTATTAACTATATTTTATGAAAAGGGCAAATTCAGATTAAAGATTTTGCTAATGATTAGTCTGTTCATGTATGTGCAAGGGGGATGCACACATGCCACGTGCAGGTCAGAAGACAACCTTTAGGACTTGGTTTTCTTAGGTCATTGGGCTTTGGGGCAAGTGCCTTTTCTGCCAAGCTATCTTGCTGGCCCAATCTATATACCTGGTCACTAAATCAGACATTGCCATAATTTGTTTAAATGCTTCCCTCTTTTAGGTCAAGCTTTTATTCTTACTTTAGTTCACGTATGTGTGTGGAAGAGGGTATGCACAGGTGTGCTCCGATGTGTCTATGAGTGCACACTTGGGAAGGCAGAATATGACATTGGCTATCTTCCTCTACCACTTTTGGCCTTACCATCTTGTGACAGAGGTTCTCACAGAACTGGAAGCTCACCACTTCAGTTAGGCCAGTCAGAGTGTGCTCTGATCAGCCCATCTCAACTTTCCATGCTGAGATTACAAATGCATATGCCCAGCTTATTACAAAGATTTTGGAGATTTTAACTCAGGCTCTTATGCTTACAAAGCACGTTTACTCTCCCAGCAAGTCATCTCCCCAGTCTCTTACCTTTCTCCCTTTCTCCCTTTCTCCCTTTCTCCCTCCCTCCCTCCCTCCCTTCCTTCCTTTCCTTTTCTTTCTTTTTTGAGATAGTGTCTCACTATGTAGCCCATGGTAACCTTAGACTCATAAAGACCTATCTATCTCTGCTTCCCAAATCTTGGGATTAAAGGTATGCCCCACCATGCCCTGAAAAGATTTTGTTTTTTTCATTATGTGTATATGGGAGAATGTGTGTGCCCACAGAGGCTAGACGCCATTAGAGTCCCTGGAGCAAGGGTTATAGGTGACCCATTTGTGGTGAGTGCTGGGAGACAACTCTGGCCCTCTGTAAGAGTAGCAAGCACTCTTAACCACTTAGCCATATATCCACCTTTAATTATTCTTAATTTTTAAAATGTATTTTGTGTGTTTGAGCGGGGGGGGGATGGTGTACATGTGGCAGTCAGAGGACAACTTTCAGGAGTGGGTTCTCTACTCCATCTTGTGGAAGATCTTATGTTCTTGCTGCTGCATGAGCTTCCAAGCAATTCTCCTCTCTCTGCCTCCCACCTCATCACAGGAACACTGGGATTACAAAGGCATGCCAGTGCATCTGGTTTTTCACTTGAGTTTTGGCAATCAAACAAGTTTTCAGGATGAAATAGCAAGTGCTTTCACCCAATTAACCATTTTGCTGCTGCTGCGTGTGCACATGTGTCCTTCCTTTATTATCATCTGCATTGTTTATTTTGCATATGAATTTGTGTAGTGAGCATTCATGTATGCATGTTCACATGTGCGAACGTGCTTATGTGTTCATGTGTGGAAGCCTGAGTTTGATGCAGTGTTTTTCTTGATCACTCTTTACCTTGCAGAGTCTGGGTCTCTTTCTGAATCTAGAGCTCACTTTTACAGTTAGTGTGGCTACACAGCCTCTGAGGACCCCACTGTCATTGACTGCTAAGCACTGGAATTAAAGGGGGCTGCCACACCCATCTGGCTTTCACAAGGTTCTGAGGATCAGAACCTTGATCCTCACACTCGTGCAGCAAGCACTTACCCTCTGCACTATCTCCCTAGCCCCAGGCTCTTCTCTGTAATTTTGACTTCTATTTAGAAGGACACACAACCTTGAGGCATGTTGGTAAGGGGAGAGTAACAGATTTGGACTCCAGCAGGAGGCAGATTCCGTATGGGGCTTGGGATGTGTTTCAGTTGGTAGAATGGCTGCTTGGCAAGTGTGAAGCCCTGGCTTTGATCCCTAGCACCACACGAGCCAGCTGTGGGGTACACCTCAATAATCCAGAACTCAGGAAGGAGAGGCAGGAAGATCAGAAGTTCACAGTAATTCCCAGTTACATAGTTTGAGGTCACCTGGCCTACTTTCCAGAGAGCAGAGTAATTACAGACAGAAAAGCAGCATGGTTGAAGAGCTGACCATGAACAGTTCTGTGCAGAGTGAAGCAGGCCATGGGAAACCTAGCAAGGTTCAGCTGTGGGGAATTTTGCTGCCCAGGGAGGAGCCTGACTTTGCTGTGTCAAGAGCTTTCCTTAAAATCAGTGGGGACAGCCCCATGGGATTCATGAACCATTGATTGAAGCAATCTCCCTCTATAACACTCTTGTTTGTAATTGTATTCTTGAAGAAAATGTGAAATGTTGTAAATTATGAAGTGTTAGTTGAAAGCTCACACAAATGTAAGGACATGAAATTCTACTTCATAGGGTTGCATAACAATAAATAATGCAGCACTTATCCAAACGATATGAAATATGATACAGATTTTCATCAAGATTATTATTAGGGGCCATGCTCAGTGGGATGCTGCTTGCCACCAAGCCTTGAAATCTGAGTTCAATCCCTGGAACCTGTGTGACATGACAGAAGGAGAATACCGCCTCTGACTCCCCATGAACAAGCATGAGTGTGCACATACACAAATAAATGTGAAAAAAAATTGTTAAAGTTAATTGATTTGCATACTTGCCTAAAACATTTCTTTCAGAAGTTAAACAAGACATAATTTTTAAAAAGACTCAGTATGTTTTACTTGCCATTGTACAAAATGTGAGAAGGAGTTACAAGTGGTTGCAAGTTTCAAATTTAGGCAGTTGTGGTTCTCAAATATTCACTCATATGTGGAGTATCTACTACTTGCCAGAAACTGACGAAGAAACAACCAAGTGAACAAAAGCAACAGAGCTCCTGCTGCATGGAGCTAACGCTCTAGTGGGGAGAGGCGGAATGAGCAACTGGACAGGTGCTCAGAAGGCGTAAGTTCTCAGAAGAAAACCAAGCAATTTATAGTATAGAAAGTCATGGTGCCTTCAGGCAAATAGCCAGGAACTAAGAGAGTGGTAGGGACATTATTCAAGGCTCCATGTGAGCTAGGTACAGGAGACTGCATGAGGAAGTGACTTGATTCAAAAAGGATGGATCTCAAAGAGTATTTTAATTTGTCACCAAAACTAAAAGCACTGCTACTTAGAAACAGGTCAAACAGTATGGGAGCCAAAAGTAGGAGAGCTTTGAAACCAAAATATAACTGAAAGAAGTCTGCAATTGAAGCTTCTCCAGTAGATGCACTTGCCCTGCCTGCCCTGCCTGCCCTGCCTGCCCTGCCTGCCCCTCCTATTGTGCCCCTGCATGCCCAGGTCTGTCTTGTGGGCCCCACTATCCTCATTATATGCAGAGTTCTTACAGAGACAACAGGAAACCGATATGAAACCTCTCTCCCATCCTGAACTAGGCTGTCGGGCTAGGCTTCAAACAGTTTCCAACCCTTCTCCATGTTTCTGCCTGTCACACCCTAGTCCTCAGGCAGGTTATGCAAGTGATCTACCACTGTGCCTGTGCTTCAGCCTCCTGAGTTCTTTTATCTAATGGAGACCTTTATTCTGGACTCTCAGAATTGCTTTATCTGTACCAGAATCCAAAATAGGGACCTCCCCTTCCTGAAATGTGTAAGACAGTCCAAAACATCACCCGTGTCCTCCTTTTGTTTGCTCAATAAAAGAATAACAAGGCAGACTGAGGAACTGTGGTCTGTTTAGAGGCCTGCACCCACATTAACATCGGTTTACTCATCATTACAGTATATCTAGGGACACAATATAAACTCTCAGCCACGCTGTCCTCATGTTTGTAAGATCATGAGGAATTTTATACCAGTTGCCTTCCTTGAATCTGTCTCTATCGTGTTTCAGAGGCTTGACTTACCAGAAAAGCAGAACTGACCTGTCAATCACAGACTCTGCACCATCTCCTCCTGCGAACATCAGCCACACTTCACCTTGAACAACCTCTTTAGTAAACGACCACTCCTATTGCTTTTGATCTTGTCCAGAGACTACAAATCTGGTCTAATCAAGTGGCAATGCAGCAAAGAGGGAGTGACTAGAACTGTCATGCTCAGTTGCCTTTCCCATCCCCAGACACTTCACTGCCAACTGCTGGGACCTCATTTCTGTGTGGTAGTCAAAGCGATGCCCGACAGCTCCATCGCCTGTGCACCTCAACTGAATGGATGGGAAAGCAGAGGTGGAGCAGAACCCCAGGCAAAGGCTGTAAGTATAGCAAAGGCTCCACTTGCCAAACAATTTCCCACAGTCGCTGTTCTGTTGTGCAAGTGAGTGCCAGTCAGCCACAACTTCTCAAGCCTGGTGCCCAGGCCATCTGACCACTGTTCCTCTCTTGTCTTTCGCTGGTACACAAATGCCCACTCCTCACCTCTTACAGTGCCTGTCACATTCTTTACAGAGCTGTCACCATGTGCTCAGAGCACCCACCCACCCACAAAACAGATTGTGTCCTGGAGGCCTATACAACTGTTAATCAATGGTCACAAAGGTTATAAGATCAAAGAGATTAAAAAAGGTTCCTAGAAGTTAATGCTTATAGAAAAGAAATGGGAAAAATTTCCCAAACCTTTATACTTGGTGAGTGCAAGAGCAGAATGGTATGAAGAAAAAGCAAGAGGAGCTTGAGCAGAGAAAACAGGTGGTTGCAGAATTCAGCAAGAGAAACACGTAAGGTGATGTGTTGAACAATTACATGTGAGTAGCATGTTGCCTTCTCACTTGACAGATACTATTTCTGTGCACACTGTGGTAACAGAGGCAGTGACAAGCCTCACCCTCAGAAACTCAGCTAACAGCAAGAGACTGGTCTGGAAAGGGACCCAGAGGACAGAAACCCCTCTGGAGCAGGCAGCATGATGGAGAGGGAGCTGTTTCCTCCCTGGAGTCTTGGATTCCTCATTTAGAATTCATCTTCTTGCCTTTCATTATGAATTATGCTCGTTACAAGTTTGCTTTCACACTCCATGGAGAATGTAAGTATGCTAAAGAACAACATTTTGTTGATATGACTTTGCTGTTGTTTCTGTTTCTGTTGGTGATGCTCTATTACCACTGAGTTACAACAAAAGCCAAAAGTCACTATTTTGGATTAACCACAGGATCATGGATAGCCCTTTACACACAGGCTATCAACACATGATTTTAAATTAACTGTCCTACAAATCTGAGATTTCTTGTTACTGACAGAGTGCACAATTGAATACAAATCTGAATGGGGCTCAAGAGCCTCTCAGATCTAATCTGACTTTACAACTGAGGAAAGAGGGGATTGAAGAAGCTACCAGCAGATTACCAGTTTAGTACAGAGGAGCCTGGTATTCAAACAGGGCCTGTTATTTGCTGAGTAAAATTCTCAAGAGAAAAATACAAAAAAGAACGAGATCAACTTAGTACACATGCTGCTGTGATGTGTGTCTGCCCATATCAATATCTTCTTAGCCCAGCACAGTGAGCACCAATCCAGTCATGCCTGTCACAGCACTCCCTGATGTATGTGCTTGTGAATGGTTTCTGAGCGAGGACGCGTCATGATACATAAATTTAACAACAGTCCCAAATGATATTGTCAAGAACAACCACCTAGGGCCTTGCAAAATTGGATGGTGTTTCCCCAACTCCTCTCTGAGAATCTACAGACAGTTGTTTGCAGGAAAGAGAATGTCATTTTCTTCAGTACTGTAGCCATTGAGGAGGTGTCCATGCTCCAATAAATAATGGCCCACCCATGTTTCTCTAAGAAAACTTAAAGAATTTTAATGAGTCACTGGGGGAAAAAAGTCATATAAGTAGAAAAGGAACAGTTGGAAAGAAGAAGAGGATCAACAGGAGTGAGAGGGGTACAAGAGAGTAATGGAGGTGAATATGACCAAAATCCATTACACATCTGTTTGAAATATCATTATATAATCCATTATGCATAATTAATACACACCAAAAATATTAAATGGTATAGAGCCTTTGAAATTAAGACCCAAAACCTGTGAGGAAAGTTTGCTTTCATGTACAGTCATGCAGACATAGAGTTGGAAGATTTGATCTAATGGTAATAAACAATAGAAGAGGGAGGGAGGGAGGGAGGGAGGGAGGGGGGGAGGGAGGGAAGGAAGGAAGGAAGGAAGGAAGGAAGGAAGGAAGGACACTATGGCTCCAAGCAGTGCTAAGACACTGATAAAATAGTAACAGTGAAAAGGCCAGTATGGTTTGTATACTCTTGTGATACACTGTGAACAAGTAAGTATCATTAATCAAAGAACGAAGGAAATGGGAAGAACTTTAAAAGGTAGATTTCCTATAGGTTGGGGAGAATAAAGCTTTATTTTCTCCCAGCTATGAGCCTGAAAAACTGCAGAGACTCATCTAATCATAGGGTTCCATAGTGCCTGCTCTGGGCATTCACAGGGGTAAACCAGCATCATCACAGCACAGCTTTCTCTAACTGCCTGCAGTCAGGGCTCCATTCTGTAGACGCCACCGAACACACTTGTGATCTCACACCAAACTGTCTCCCTTACATGTCTGATGTGTGCAGTGTTAACACAGAGAGCTTTTCCGAAAGCAAAATCTAACAGTGAAAAGCAGCACAGATCCTGAACAGCTCTGAGTCCCTGAGGTGGGGGCTGAATAGCCTTACCCATAATCTCAATAGTATAACAACAGCCAGCATTTCACTGTTGGAGGAATAGAAAAAATCTTTTAAAATTGAGGCTTCAAAAGTATATAAAAATTGCTATTCTAGAGTGGCAAAGAGAGGTATAATACGTTCAGAACTCTTTAATGGAACCTAAGTTATTAATGTACTAGAAACAACTGTAATTTATGATGAAGAAAATGCTTCATAAATGTTTAAAATATTCACCTCTTTATTAATATTTAACAGCCCATCCAATGAGCTAGCAATTCCACTTAATGGCATTGGAGACTTTAATATATATTAGAAGAGATGTAGTTCATGTAAGGGAGTAGTCTCCCTTCCAATCCTGCGGTGATAAAAAGCAGAATGAGGCATAGAATAAGCAGCCTTCCCAGTACACAGAAATTGAAAGATCCAGCTGAAATCTCAGCCAAAGTTGCTCTGAGTCCGACTAAGTGATAAACAGTTTTAAATTCAAAAGATCATAGTGAGGACATGGAAGGGATTGGAGGGAGAAAAGAGAAGGAAGAAACAATTTTATTATGTTTTAATTTCAAGAAATTGAAAACAGCATGATGAATGTAAATGTGACAGTACAATGCATCATATATAAAGCACAAGGACTGCAAATAATCTAACTTGTGTATAAGAAACAAACCCACAAACCTAAATCCAGGCTGCTGTTTGTTAGGGGATGAAGATGCTCCATTTCATCAAATCTGCCACGCTGACCATTTCCTTCAGAGGAGGGTATGGACTGCCGGGAATCAAGGCCAAATGTTTCTTCCATCTTGAAAGAAAGACAGCCAGAAATTCAGCATGATAAGAAGCAATGAGAACACCACAATGTTGTTCCCACCAGGCAGCAATACATGGAAAACTGGGACTGCAAGTGTCTGCACACACCATGTTCCCCGGGGGGTTATCCTGTCAGGAGCTGCACACACCATGTTCCCGGGGGGTTATCCTGTCAGGAGCTGAAAGCGCTGCATGAGCCCACACACAGATACCTGGATATTTAGTACGTTTTGGTTTTAAGCATTAACAAATGGATATAAATGAACATATTCCAGAGCAGACAAATAAAAGACCTGGCCAGCAATCAAGTCAATTGGTCCTATATAGCATCCTGGATGTGTTCTTCTGACACCACAATGCCGCTGCTATCTCTCAGCTTTGGCTCCATTTCCCTAGCACTCTTGGTTTGTTTTGTTGCTCTAGTCACTCCCCCCCCCCCCCAAGATTGGGTCTCACCTAGTTGTCCAGTCTGGCCTTGAACTCTCAATCTTCCAACAACTGGATTATAGGTTCACACCAGATGCCTATCATGTGGAATGGCCCAAAACAGAACTTCAAGACTGACAAACACTGCTGATGACATAGTGTCCTTCTCTCCCATCTTCCCTTTACGGCATGCCTTTTACAGATTTTTAAAGTTATATTCTGTTGCAGTGCTATAACACTTGTGTCTTCCTGAAAGTTCTATGCTAAATCTAAATGCTCAAAGGGGTTAAATTGTGAGATACAGACTTTAAACTGAAGACAATTGAAACACAGCAAGTACAAAAGGATAGCTTTGACTCTGCAGCTGTTTCTTACGAGAAGACAGAATCAGAATCCCCTTGTGAAAGACATTCTCCATGAAGGAAAAGAGAAAGCAACATCTTCATCTTCAAGCATAAAAATCGGAAACCTTAAGCCTCCCCCTAACACTAAGTTATACTTTCACAACATATTATTTATTGGCAACTCCATATTTCAGTAACTGACTCTATAGCTTCTTTAGTTCCTCTCTTATGGGGCTCCCGTGCTATATAAACTTGTGATATAAGTACGTATGCTTTTCTCTTGTTGATCTATCTTAATGCAGTTTAACTTCAGGGCTCTGCACAGTTGGAAACAGGATTTGTCTGTCCCCACAGCTCCTAAGCAGAGGTTCTAGGAGGCAGGCCTCCAGCAAGGTGATCAGGTCATGGAAGCCAAGCCTTTATGAAGGAAATTGGAGACCTAAAAGAAAAGGCCCAATGAAGATTTCTAGATGACTCCTTATAGAAACTTCTACTTATAATTGAGCCCTTCCCAAACATCGAAGAACTGACACATTAGCCTTAGATCTCTCAGCCTCCAGAAGGTAAGACATAAATTCCTGATGTTAAAAAGTCTGTTCAGTAAATGGTGTGTTTGTTATAGCAGCTCACAGACACAGATATAGAATATAAATCGTCATAAATTTCTGAGTATAAATTAAAAGTTTATACTCGCTATATAAATATATTTAACTAATTTAAGTGAATAGCATTTTGTAAAAAACATGTTTGGTTTTACCTTTTGCATTCAGAGTTGAGCTCTATAAGCCTAGATAACCTAAATTTGTGATCCTCCCATCTCCAACTCTTGACTGTTGGAATTACAAAAATGTACCACCATGCAGGGTACCACTGTTTTTTACTGTTGGAGATTTTAGATTTTGACGGTTCAAATAAAAATAGGAAGTGTGTTTGAGACAGAGTTTCTCCGTAGCTTTGGGGCTTGTCCTGGAACTAGCTTTTGTAGACCAGGCTGATCTCAAACTCATAGAGATCTGCCTGCCTCTTACTCCTAAGGGCTGGGATTAAAGGAGTGTGCTATCACCGCCTAGCCAGAAGTTTAGATTTTCTAATGATCTAATTTCTATATAATTATAATACTCAGACTTCAGTGACAGAGAAGGAACACCGATGAAATGCTAGGCTAATTCCTGGCAGCTTACCCAAACAAAACAAATCATGGTAACACACAGCCCAGTGGAGCTGACAATGCACCAGGCAACTCAAATATTACATGGAGGTGACAAGAAGTGAGGTGTGATTATCTGTCTGACTGAAATAAAAGAAGCAATAATTTCTCAGAGAGGAAAACAAGGAGATGGAAGGCAGTAGTTAAAAAGAAAGGAAAATATTTTGCAATATTTGATAGGGTCAGTGGCAATTCTATTAATGGTAACTGGTAAGCAAGAAAAACCATCCCAAATCTGGATTTCAGTAAAGCAGATTTGAAATTTTATTATGTTTATTTTATGTGTTTGGGTGTTTTGCCTGCATGATCTGTGCACCTTGGTGCCTGCCTAGTAGGTACTGAGACTGAACACAGATCCACTAGCAGAGCAACCAGTGCCCTTAACTGCTAAACTAACTCTCCAGCCCTCAGTAAAGCAAATTCGAATGGTTGAATCTTTAGAAAATTGAATTTGGGTTTTATATAAACAGAGAAAAAAATGAATATATTGTCATTCTGGTAAATAATCCTGAAGCAAAAAAAAAAACAACCACAAACAAACATAAAAAAACAAGAACTTTAAAAAATGGGCAGATGGTTGCATTGTAGGTTTCTGCACAGAACATATTGGGTCAATGAGCACATAAAAACATGCTTAACATTACTAATCACTAATTAATGAAATTCAAATCAAAGTCATAATAAGGTAGATGTGGTGGTGCACATCTGTAATTTCAGCTCTACACCCCAACACTCAAAGAAGTGTAAGGCAAGAGAATGTAGAACTCACAGCCAGCCAGAGTGCTGTTTTAAATCTGAAATGTCCTTACGAGCCATTAAGGCCTTAAGGAGGCAGGCCCTGGCTGACAACAGCTGATCACTAGGGAGGAGTCTCCAAGGGCTCCAGTCACCTCTGGCTCTAGCCAGTGTTTTCAGTTCCCTGTTCACACCACCACTGAACAAGTATCTCCCACATGTTCCCGCCACCAAGAACTGTTCTCACCATTGTGCTTCCCTGCTATAATAAATAGGTAGAAATAGCTCTGAAACCACGAGCCAAAGCAAACCTCTTAGATAGAGGTGTCTATCCTCTCCCAGGACAAAGGTCAGTAACTAACGCACTGCCTCCACCTCCCAAATGAGGGGATTACAAGCACCTGGCTCATATACCCCATGTCCCACCATGCTCAACTATTCCCAACACATTCCTAAGTGTCACCTTCATTCACACCAATGCTTTACATGCCCCACAAACATGCAGATCTCATTTGTCAACTCTGCAGTAATTCAGGCAGGGCACTTCTGCCAGAATACTTGCCTACTAAGCATTTCCACTAATAAACTGGACCAACTCCTGCTTTACGACTTCAAGTCCACGAATTTCATATTCAATAGACTGTAATTGCAATTTCTCTCTTTTAAAAACCTGCCTTGGAGTACTTGAAAATGCTTACTGGTCACTGTGACCTGTGCACTTTCACAGTTATGCTGTTACTCCCAAATAAACACCAGGATCCTTTGGAGAATTTCCAATTGTGATTTAGACTGGCAACCTACGAGAACTGAAAACAAAACTTGAAGAGGTATTTATTCATACACTAATACTTCTAGTAACATTATCCATGAACAATAAGAGTGGAGGAGTGGAGCCACGGCTCTACTTAGGGCTGGACTGATCAACCTAGGCTTTTCCTGAGGCTTTTCCTGAGATGGGAGAAGAAACCCATCTCCATCTTTAAAACCAAATTATGACTGGCAAAGCTGGTAATGGCCTGAAGCCAGGGCCTTGGTGGAACTGTGGCTTCAGATCCCAAGAACCCAACCAACCTACTGCATTTGGCTCTGGTTATCAGTCCCCAGATTGCTGTGTGCTTAATTTATAATGCTCTTGAGATACCCTGTGTTGCCCTTGTGCAACATTGTTTAATTAGCTTCCTGCTGACTTAGTCCCTTTGTATGGTACACTGCTTTCCCTATCCCGTTTCTGCCCTAGAAATAGTAATAAACTAGTTGGGTCTGAGATATAGCTTGTACAAGACGTCCCAGTCCCAGACTTTCTTATCTTCTCTATTTTCTATCCTTACCTTCTGATCTCATTGTCCTCTTTCTCAGGATCCTGTCACTCAACAAACTCCTGGTCCTGTTCATGGCTCAGTAGCTAAAAGCATCACAGCTCTTAGAGGACCCGGGTTCAATACCCAATACCTATGTGGAAGTCTAAAATGTGGCACATGTGTGAACATTCTCAGAAACTGTGAGTTGCTACAAACATGACCTTAAGGTAAAGATATCACGTATTTTGAAGATACAAAAAGATCCCTTCTTTAGAACTTTCCTCACATGACTAAAAGCAACAGCTTCAGCTAGCTGGTGATACGTGCCTATGAGCTCAGCACCTGAGAACCAGAGCTAAGCTGATTTCAAGGCTGGTAACAGCCTGGACTACACAGGAAGACCCTGTCTCAAAAAGGGCAAAGGCAGGGGGTAGGGGATGGCAAGAAGCCACTTGTGGGAAATGAGCTGTCATATGTCAAGGCAACTGGGTTTACGCCCAGAAATAACAGTAGGCTAATACACATGCATGCCTAAAGATGGTAGCACCTTCTGTGGGATAAGCTCTTGGACACTGTAAAGATTTGCCACTCATATTGGCTTAATAAAACACTGATTGGCCACTAGCTAGGCAGAAGTATAGGCGGGGCAACCAGACTAGGTGAATTGTGTGACGAGGAAAGGCAGAGACATAGTTGTGAGCAAGATGCAGAGGAAGCAAGATGAGACTGCTTTACTGAGGGCTGTTGAGAAGGCTCAGCAGTTAAAAGTACTCGCTGCTCTTCCAGAGGACCTGGGTTCAATTCCCAGCACCTACAAGGCAGCTCACAACACCCTCACACAGACATTCATTCAGGCCAAACATCAATGCAAATAAAATAAAAAAGAAATAGAGAATGCTTCACTGAGAAAAGGTACCAAGGCATGTGAGATAAGAATTAAGGGTTAAGTTGTAAGAACTAGTTAGTAATAAGCCTGAGCAAACAGTTTTAAGTCTCTGCATGTTTATTTGTGACTGAATGGCTATGGAACCAGGCAGAACAGAAACTTCCGTCTACAAGCACCACTGACACCTAAAGAAATAAATGCTGCCACAAATTTCCACATCTCAGGATTGTCCCCTAAAAGTTCATTTGTGTTTCCTAAACAAACTTATTTGTTCTTCCTACAGAAACCTTTCCTTGATCTCTGTTAATGTCTTCTCTCACTTTAACTAATATTCTCCTAGGTCTGACCTGAAATGGGCAGAAATAAATATTTCCTACTGAGACATGCAGGGTAAATTATTCTGCCTTAATGAGGATGTCTGACATATACTGCGACATGAATGAACCAGAAGGAGCTTATGATAAGCAAAACAAGCCAGACATATAATGATAATGTTCACAACTTCCTGTCTTTTTTTGTTTGTGACACAGTTTCTCTGTGTAGCTTTGGAACCTGTCCTGAAATTTGCTCTGTAGACCAAGCTGGCCTGGAACTCCCAAAGATCCACCTGTCTCTGCCGGCCGAGTGTTGGGATTAAAGGTGTGTGCCACCACTACCCTTTGTAATAGTCAGTTCTTAAACAGAAGACAGAATTACAGTTAGTGCCAGGGAACAATGGGCAAGGGGAGAGCACTTATTGTTTGGCGGTCTCAGTATTTCTAATGGGGTCCTAGGATGGACAAAAATGGTGGCTACACAACAGTATTTAATGCCACCAACCTATATGCCAAAAAGGTACAAAACATAGACATTAAAACAATTTGGGTTTTTTTTGGGGGGGTAGTCCAGAAACTTTGATGATTCACCTTTTACGTAAAATAAGAATATATGGGTAGTGGAGGATTAACATTTGAATTTCTTGGGTATTATTTGTATATTACAAATAAGGCCTTACAAAGTCTATCACTACTGAGAAGCAAATAAAGATCCAAAGCCTACTCTGTCATCACTGTAGAAGGGAATTAATGCCAAGTGAGAACGTGAAATAATTTGAAGAAAATCAAGAGGTAGTTTTTCAGAATATATTAGAGCTGAATTAATATTCATTAATATGTCCTATAACATTAATTCATATAATTCAATGTGAGAAGAGGTAAAAACTTAACATTTTACAGATTTTGAAATATGAATGGTTAAGTGTTAATACTATAAACACTTATTTGGTGATTTTAATCTATAACCTTAACAGTTTATCTATGAAAATGGACCAGTTCTTCAGGCTAATTTTTATTTGGAGGTCTAAGTTATTCTTTCTATATAAGAAAATGGTTATAACAAGCAAGAATGCCTGAATTAGGGAGGGAAACAAGACAGAAGCCAGGCAATGCGCTGGTTTCAATAAGGACGTCCCAAGGCTCAGATGGTTGAATATTCATCTGATCCCTTTTTGGTAGTGCTGTGTGGGTAGATTTAGGCCTTGCTGTGGGCGAGCTTTCAGGTTTCCAAGTCTGGTGCCATTCCCAGTACACTCTCTTGAAGCCTAAGATCGAGGCCATCAACTTTCCAGTCAGATGGGTCTGGGCTGTGTCTAAAGCTAGGTGAGTGTGAGCCAGGGAGAAGGCCAACGAGCAGTATTTCTGCTGCAGTTCCTGCCTTGATTTCCCTCAATGATGGACTGTAGCCTGGAAATACATGCAGAAACAAACATTTCCTGTTCTAGGCTGACCTTCGTTAGTGTGTTTTATCACAGCAGTCAAAAGCAAACTAACAAGTATAAATTAAAGAACTGCTGTATCTCAAACAAGCTACATAAAAATGAAGACAATGTACTTGGGAAAGTGTTGAATGATCTGAAAGTGACTGTTGTGAACAGAGATAGGCATTAAATATATACTGAAATACTTTGAATGAAATTATAATTAAAGATGCATATATGCAAAAATTTAACCCAATACAACTTTTTTTTTTTTTTTACTTTTCCTCACTTTTATTTATGACATTTCCCCCAATCTCTTCTGGTCAAAAGTTCTTGGAGACAATTCCATCAGCTTTAGCCAATCGGAGAATAGAATCATCTGACTCGCCCATCCTGCGAATGGCCCCGCAGATAGCGTAGGTTTTAAACTGGCCATTAAACCGACCTGTGACCCTGTCAACCTCGGCCACGTTCATCTGGATGGACGCGTGGTCCTTGGTACCAATGATGCGGTTGCTCGCGGAGCATTTCTGCGGCACTTACAGGTCCACGAACTCGCCGGCGTCGTTCTGCATGTCGAGGTCCTGCCTGCTCGCTAGGCCGCGGGAGCGCAGAAAGGTCCCAATACAACTTTTAAGATATGAATATTTGACTAAATGTATGGAGTAAACATTCTGAATATTTATTTTTGTATTTTTTTTCCTTGTCTCGAAAGGGACCAATATTTCAAACTGTCTTTTATTTAGATAAATAAATTTCTTTTTATGGGAAAAAGCAGCCACAGCAAGAATGTGTGCACAAATTCAGTAATCTCTAATTCTAGTATGCTGTGTATTATGAATATTCAGAATGAAGCTGAGCATTTAGGATCCAGGGAAGGGCTGGCAAAGAGAGAAAGCCATTGTCACTGGAGTATACCACACACACAGAAAGGGATCAGACTGAGCACAGGGAGCAAGGGCCTACGTGAGAGCACAATACCAGCATGGCTTTAAAAGATGCCCTCTAGGGCAGGTAAGGTGGCTCAGTGGTTAAGAGCACTTTCTGGTCTTGCAGAGGATCCTGGTTTAATTCCCAGAGTCCACATGACAGCTCACAAGCATCTGTAAGTGCAGTTCCAGGGGATCTGACATCCTGTCGAGCCTCTCCATGTAACAGTCATGGGCATGGTGCACATATATACATGCAGGCAAAATACCTATGCACACAATAAAACTAAAACTGAACTAACTAAATAAAACTACCATATATAGTAAGTTTCTTCTCATTTGTTTGAAAATTAATTCAGGCCAAAAAATAAACAAATTAAAAAAACATTAAAAAATTCAACAGACAACTAATTAACTATAATTTTATTTAAAAATCAAGTTTACTGTTAATATAATAGTAAGGATAAACCTATTAAAAGGTAATGCTTCTTGCCAAGTTGTAAACAGGCACAGTCACAAACCTGAAAGTAACTATCTGGCACACACTACTGATGCATCACAAACAAGCACGGAGAATGCTGTGGCCAGCACAGATATAAACAATAATACACTTTGAGCTCATTTTCCCTTGATTTGCCCTGACAAATATACTACATAAGAAACATATTGCCATGTTTCCCTAAGAGAATTTAAAAGAAAATCTTAATGATTGAAAGAACTCTTGATTGAACTGAGAAATTAGAAGAAAAATGTGTTACACACACACACACACACACACACACTCACACACAGAACAGTGAAAAACCACTCAACCAGCACGGTAACCACAGCTCACAGATTGCAGAGAAGTGATGTAATATGAATAGGATGACTTCATGTGCTCACTACACTCTTGGTAGTGCATCTTGTACGTCATCCTAGCTTACAAAGCCCATTTCCTTTCTACTTTATCTGTGGAAGTAACATGAGTAAGGGAGGGTCAGAGCAGGGAGGGAATGGAGGCTGAGTAGCAAAGTCATACCATGTCTGCAGTGTTGTAGCTGCACTGCTGCATTTCCTGGGAATATAAACTCTGCCCAGACTCTGGATCGTGACACTCAGGTGCTTCATCTTCTGAGAGGCTAGCATGCAGCCACTGTGTGCCAACCTGGAGTTCCTGCCTGGAAGGTGCATGCCTGGCCTCCTGAATGTGTGGTAGTGGGTGTAACTCCATGGCCCGGAGGTGATCTTGATAGAGTTCATATTCCTCATCTACAAGCATCTCTCTTTCCTCGCCCCCTCCCTCCAGTGGAGGGCTCAAAAATTCATGCATTTCCCAGGCTTCGGAGCTGGTGTCCATTTCTTTTTGTTGGAACTGCAGAGACTTTCCCATATCTAAAAATGGTTCATCCACAAGTTCTTCAAGATATGGCTCATCTCTAAATCCCTGTAAATAAAAGTTTATAAAAAAAAATGTTAAGTTCCACTTGTCTTAAAGTTGTACGATACACCTCAACCTGAAAAAGTGTCAACCTAACTGCAGTACAGTGCCTTAGTCAATGCATGATCAAAGCCAGCTGAGCTTCTGCATCACCAAACAAGAAGCTGCAGTTCATTGTGCATGGCTCAGAAATTAGATGTGGAATAAAGAGGCATAAGCCTGCATTGCCAAGGTGAACTGATAGCTCCATCATGTAATAACTAACTACCCAACAGTTCTCCATCATCAGGAGATATTTAGGCTAAAATGCTGTACCAAATACGCAACTCGTCCCTAACACAAAATGTAACTCATGAATGCAAAGTCACTTCATACTTAGGACAACCAAGACTGAAAAGTTCACTGTGGTCAAGCCTAAGAAACTCAAAAGAAGTGAAAATGTTCAAAGCACATTCTCTTTTATTTTTGGGTAGGATTATTCTACTGTTGAGCTATACCTTTAGCTCTTAAAAACAAAACAAAACAAAAATGTTCTTAAATGAAATACAGCACTATATGTCTCAAGTACTTTGAGTATAATTTGTTTTTAATAAGACAAAATACAGAAACAAGATTTTTTACCTACACTGAGAATATGATAAAGAGGAATGAATATAGTGTGGTTTTTGCTGAGCCTCTGTCCTAACTCTAGTGAGCCTATGGCTGTTGAGCACAGAGGCCTAATCCCCTGTAGATCAACACTCATTCCTACTATAAGCCCCACCCATTAAGAACTACCTAATGTAAATTCCTACAATCAACCTGCCCCTCTATTTTCTTCTTATAACTCAACACCACATGGTGAAGCTTCATACTGAAACACTGAACTAATACTGCAATGTGATTCAAAACAATCAGAGATACAGGATATATCCGAAAATATTATGATTATAATATTTTAACACAGTGTCTAAACTTTTAAAAGTGTGATGGACATTATGAGACTGCCTATCAGCCTGAGACACTGTTACATATATGTCAGGAATGTTACTAAACAATTGTTATCAAGTAAAACAAAGAATACAGTAGACTTTAGGAATAGAAGGGGAAGCTTAACATATACTGTCTATGATTACGGTATCAAAGAGGGATGAGTAGATACTTTGGAAAGTATTCAATTATGAAGTTGCATGTTTAGCTACATTTTCTATGACATTTTACATGGATGTCAATTTTCAATGATATATTCTTTCTCCCGAATTTTAGGTTTATAATAGTGCATAAAAATGTTTGTTCTTTTAAACATGTTTTATTAATTTGGGTGGAGAAAGGTGTGTGCCTCAGCACATGTGTGGAGGTCTGAGGACAACTTGTGGGTCTCACCTTTCTTCTTTTACCTTGTAGGCTTCAGGAATGAATTCAGGTCAGGTTTGGTGGTAAATGCCATAACTGAGCCATTCTGCTAACCCCAGTGTTTGTTTTTTGAAAATGTCTTATATCTTCTGTCATTTAAACTGACAATGTAAGACTAAATTAAAAATTTAAGTTAAAAAATACTAATTAGAGAGAAGGAAGCTGGTCGGGCATATAAGTGATTACAGAGATGGGGGCAAGTATTTAATTTGTAACTGTTTAGCTGAGTGAATGGGGACAACTTGTGTCTTTATATTAACTTTAACTTACAAAAAAATCATTGAAAAGGCAAATAAATTTAGCAAATACCTGGGGTGCCTCAAGGATTAAAGATGAATGTATGTCATCAACAGCTTCTGAAGGCTCATTGTTGTCTTCATTGTTGTTTGAATGTAAAATAAAACAACTTCCTTCCTTCTCACCTTCCTGAAAATAAAAATCAGTTTATGATCAAGAAAATTCTTCAGTTTTAATTTCTCTTCAATAGTTCTCATCCAGTGCAATCACTCAACAACGTCTATGCAAATGTGAACAAAGCAAACTTTCACTCACAATGGAAAGACTATGAATGAACCTTAGGCCAAAACTGATCCACGGAAAAGGTTTTGCAGATACAGCTATGACGTCATCTCTGTGCATAGGCTTAGGGGCTTAACACTAATGTGCTAGTCATTAACAGGTACTCTAAGAGAAGGCACCTTTCTGCTGAGGAAAGGGCTCAATCAGCACTAGTCACTCTATAGTTACAAGTCCAGAATCTGACATTCTCAATTACCACTCCATGTAATCCCCAGCAAGGTAGGTGTGAGGCAAAAAGGCCTCATGGTGCACAGCCTTGGAACCACAAAGAAAGCTCTACAGCCAAGAGTTCCAGATCAGTGTGGTCTGCCTAGTGCCAAAGACAGTGTATAGTAAATGCTCATTTAAAATTAGATGAAAATAATCAAGTATTTGTTTTACACTGAGAACCTCAACAACAAAATGTTGAGGAACCAACAGACAAGAGCAGTAACATGAAACCATAAGCACATCAAACCATAAGATGATGTCAAGACAGTCTGACTAGAACAATTGTCAGTACTAGGGGTCACCAGACATGCTGATGACCAATGGTGACTGGAAAGTATAAAAAACTTCTCCACAGGGCAGTGGTGGGGCACGCCTTTAATCCCAGCACTCGGAGGCAGAGGCAGGTGGATCTCTGTGAGTTCAAGGCCAGCCTGGTCTACAAGAGCTAGTTCCAGGACAGATTCCAAAGCTACAGAGAAACTCTGAGTCGAAAAATCAAAATAATAATAATAAAAAAATATCCCATACAAAAAAATATGGTTTATGAATTTTAGTTCATTGTACCTAACATCATTCTAAAATAGTAGTTCCTAACATATGGGCTGAGACCCATTTGGGGTCAAAGGACCCTTTCACATATCAGATATCTGGCATATCAGATATTTAGATTATGATTCATGACTGTAGCATTACAGGTGTGGTGCAGCAACAAAATAATTATGGTTGGTGGTGACAACAACGCATACAATTGTGTTAAATGGCCACAGCATTGGGAAGGTTGAGAACAACTGCTCTAAAATTAAAATGCAAAATTATTTATTTTCACTTACATATAAGGAGTATGAATAGAACTTAGGAGTCTGTTTTAGAAACCTGAAGGTACTATGGTAATACAAGTGGCAGAACCAAGGTTAGACATGCCAGCAGTGAGCAATCACTAACTGTCACATCTGATGACATTGCCTTTATTCCTGAAACTTGCTGATGTACGTCAAGGACATTAAGAAACTTGCAACTGCTTACTGCTCTTTCAAAACAAGAGTTTGATTCCCAGAGCCCACATAGGGTGGCTTACAATCACCTCTAAATATAGCTCCAGGTATTCTGATGCCCTCCTCTGGCCTCTGTGGGCACTTCACTCACATGCAAAAACACACACCTGTACACTTAAATAAAATAAATCTGAGTTTAAAAAAATTATAAAAGAAAAACAAAAGAAACTTGCATAGAAGCAGAGACTGTGCATTTGTTTCCCGGCTGCCAAGACCAAAATAATCACACAGAAACTATATTAATTTCAACATTGTTTGGCCAACAACTCAGCTGTATTTCTAGCTAGCTCTTATATCTTAAATTAACCTATTTCTATTATTTTGTGGAGCACCATGAGGCTGTGGCTTATCAGTAGGTTCCAGCATCTTTCTCCTTTGGCAGCTACACGGTGTCTGCTTGTTGCAAGCTTCTTTCTCTCTTCTATACCTCTGTTCAGATTTCCTGCCTGGCTTTACCCTGCTAAGCTACTGTCCAAAACAGTTTTATTCATGGTGATACACAGAAGAATATAAATGGGTTAATTTAAGATGTAAGGGCTACCTAGGAATACACCTAAGCTATTGGCCAAACAGGGTTGTAATTAATATAGTTTCTTTGTGATTTTTCAGGTCTGGGTGACCGGAAATGAACAAGGAGTCTCTGTTTACACTTGCATGAGGTCACACACATAGAAGCAATGTGGGGCAGCTTTCGCATCCAGATATATCTGCTTCCCCTAGTCCATGTTCTATACTGCACTAGTTTTATATCCCTTATTATTCAAACTTTATATTTGAGAAATAGAGTTGCTAACTACTGCATTGTTATTACTTATATTAACTGAGTTCAAAACTTACCACCAAAGGCTTACAGATGCCAAGGTGCACAGCACCTGGGGGCACAGCCGTCAACACTTCGACAGCCTCAGCAAGTGTGGCATTGTCCAAAGAGAACTCATTGACAGAGACAAGGCGATCTCCCGGTAAAATTTCTCCACTTCTTTCTGCTACACCATCTGCTACCAAGGACCGAATCACAATTACTGAGCGTGTGGGATCCAAGGGGTCCTAGAAATTAAATGAAAGAAAGTCAGATCCCTGAAAATAACTATGCAGGTTTAAGAAAGCTTACCTTTAACAAATCTGATTTGTTTATCTCATGTGGTCAGCACTCTGCTGACACTCTATAGAGGTTTAAATTAATGAAAACATCACTCTATATATCCTATAACATCAGCTTATATCAAAGTGAAGATATAAACTTAACAGTTTCATCTGCTTTTCTGTGTGCTCAATACATGTAAATTTGTTCTTTAAACATTCGGTGACTGACCACAAGAGATCTGGGTACACTTAGGAAAGATTCTCTGACACTTTCAAGCCATAATTATACTGTGGAACAAATCCATGGCTATCTATGACTCCCCCTATATATAGGCTCTAAGAGGAGAATAAAGTGGAAAAGAAAACTCCATCATTCAACTGAGAATATACAACATCCTTCGAGGAAGCCCCTTAAGCTCAGAAGGAGGAGGAGGACTAAAAGGAGAAGGAAAAGGAGAAGGAGAGGAAGAGGGAGAGGGAGAGGGAAAGGGAGAGAGAGAGAGATAGAGGTAGAGAGAGAGAGAGATATCATTTTAAAAGTGTATTTAGGAGTTGGAGAGATGATTCAGCAGCTAAGAGCACTTACTCCAAAATCACAGAAACAGGGTTTGAAGCACAGTACGTACATAGCAAGTTGAATGTTGCTGAAAATACCTATAACCCCAATTCCAAGTGGGGCAGATACAGGAGGATTTCTGGGGTTTGCTGACTTAGTCCAAGATTTAAGGAAAGGCCTGTCTCAAAGAAAAAGGCAAGAGTGACAGAGGAGGGTACCTGGCACCTTCTTCTGGCCTCTGAAACGTGCACAGGTGTGTGTACCTTACCTACACGTACACTCATATGACACAGACCCCACACATACAAAAATGAATAAATTTCAGTGGCAAAGTGCTTGCCTGGTATGAGATTAGCTTCAACACAATCAACAACAGACATACATGTATGTGCTTACAGTATATTTTTTTTACAGTATATATTTTAAAATAATACAAATTATCACAAAGCTTAGTGGCCTGATAGGAATGATTTCAATATACATGAAGGGAATTCGTGAACAAGCCAACATGAAGGTTTCTCATCCAGTGGGGGAAGCCTGTACTCTTTTATTTGAGCATAGAAGATAGTAGACTTACCAATGCTTCTGCTTGAGGAAATATCACTCTGTAGAACTATTAATTTGGAACTCAAAGTAATCCTCCTGCCTCAGTTCACTGACTGCTATGATTACAGGTGTGAGTCAAGCTTACTGTGAATTTGACAGATGACAGAAAGTGATGCTGAGAAAGTTAAGGAAATTGGAGACCACTGGCTGCTGTTTAGGGGTAGAGCCAGACTTCAGCCAAGCAGTCCTTCCTGCTGCCCCCCAATCTCTGCTGTTTCCTCTGTATTGTGATAACTGTCAGGAAGAACTCTGAATGAAGGAATGCCACCCTGCTGATATCCTACTGCCCAGTAGAGCTCTGTTAGTCTTGCTGGAGTGGGTATTGATGTGGCACTGTTGTCAAGCCTTCTTTATTAACCAGCCAAAGCATATTTGCTCCTTTTTACCACACTATACAGGCCACGACAGCAGAACAGGATTCTACTGCTGATGCGGCTATAGGATTCTTTCGGAGAGCAGAAGGAGAAAGGGACCACCGTATATTGTGGTACTACTGTAACCCTGCATTAACAGAGTAAATATCTGCCAAAATGCAGGCTGTATCTGACGAGGCTATATCTGACAAGTGCTACCAGAACTTTTGAAGATTTCTGGTTATTTTCCACATCTTGGTGCTTTAGACAGCAAAATCATTTTCAAAGTACTGAACGAAATTATAACAAAGTACACATATTGACATCAACAAAGGTTACATAGCTAAATCTTTAAACAATGCTTTCAAACACAATTCTTGCTTTTTTGTTCCTCAACTGACCTTGCCTGTCTCAAGTGACCAGACCCTTGGAATAATCTAGTATTTAATACTACATATTCAGCAAGAGAACTAAAATAGAAAAAAAAACCAAAAACCAAGGGATTTTATGAGTAAGGTATGTAACATTAAACTATACTTACACTGATAATTTCAAGTAGAGGGAGCTATTGTATAGGAAGAGAGCAGAGGTACTCAGAAAACCCGGTGTGTAACCATAGGCAATCAAAGCAGCAACAGGGAAGAGTTGTCCACTTTGTCACCAGATACCATGAATCACAACGTGCTTTCATTTTGAAATATGAAACCATTACATTTTAAGTTTGACACACTAATAAATAACCTATACAATTATGTCCTTCATTTGGGAAGTCAGTTTTTGATAAAAGGCTTTTTTTATTGGGAGGGGAGGGAGGATTACCTCAAATGCACAGAAGGAAGTTGCTATTGCTTCCTATTAATGATTATATTATAATAATAATAAAGACTCTAACAGGAAAATATATAAAAAGTAAATGATTTTTCTAAGTTCATGTGATACTCGATATCATTTCATATAACACTGAATCAGAAACTTGAAAAGGTGAATGAGCATGTTCCAACTGTAACTGACAGATACAATTTTTAGAAAGATTATCATTATATAATAAGGAAGGTTCTTTGAGAAACCATTAAAATAGTTCTGCTATGAAAAGATAATGAATTTTATTTATTACAGAAAAGTCATGTGAGTACTATTTACATGGAACATTGTCTTCTTTAGAACACAAATGAGGGCCAGGTGCACTTGCTTACTAAAATGTATTCAGGCTCGGTGTCCTAGTTATTCAAAATATCTTACCCCTTTTTCCTAAAGGTCAGAACCCAAAGAAGCTCCTTTGTGTCTTATAGAAATATTAAGTGAATATGCACACGCACGCACGCACGCACATGCACTCAGCACACCACGGTGAAGATTCTCATCATGTCTAATTGCCACTGTGCTTCTAGGGATGATGTTCCTTACTGTGTGGTTTCCCACATCCTATCACGAGCATGTGACTTCTGCACGACCATAAAGGCAGCAGCTACTCTTGCCTACTGAGATGGCTGCGTTGTGAGGCTTTATCGCATAAAAAGTGCTCAAACATCATCCCGACCCAGCTGCTTCTCTACAAGTCCTGAAAACAGTTCATAACATCATAAAGGTGGTATATCAAACCGCGTAAAGATGGTAAAAATGGTAAAAATATTTCTCAAGATTGCCACTGAAACTTAGGGTCCTCCAAGCATATTTTAACATTCTTATCATCACCTTTCACCAGTGTGTGTGTGTGTGTGTGTGTGTGTGTGTGTGTGTGTGTGTGCGCGTGCGTGCGCCACAGCATCAGAGGACAACCTGCCAGAGTTGGTTCTCTCCTTTTCGGGTCAACATGCTGAGCAGCATGTGCCTTTATCCACTGGTCATCTCTCATGTTTCCCCTTTTGATAAAGAAAACTGTGAGATGTTGCGTTAGAGCAAACAGCCAAGAGAGGGCACTAAAGGCCAACCACTGAGTGCAAGAAACACTTGATTAGGAAATCTCTCCTCTTTATTCAAAACTGTTGTGCCATTATAACTTCTATAGCATGTGGCCCCTATGTTTATTTTAATCCAACCATTTATGGAAAGGATGTTTCAGGAAAGAGTTAAAGCTTTTTAAAAGACAGGACTCCTGTAGCAAACTAAGAACAGCAGATGCTTGGGGTACACGACACAGAAGCCAGCAGAGGAGTGTACTTTCCACACTCACCACTCAGCTAAGCAGCACTGGTCAGCCAGCTCTGTCTCACAAGCCAATTAAGTCACCTGCCTGAAGAAAGGTCATTGAGGAAATTTTAAAACTCTTAAGGTGATGCTACGGTTTGATATTTATTATAAATACTTGATTTTGCAATGCTTGGGAAATCCAACCCTGACTGGCAATAGCACATGTGCAAGCCCTTGTCCTAAGATACACTTCACAGGTCAACCTATTACCTTCCGTCTCTTCTCTCAACTCACCCCTCTGCTCTGCCACCCCCCTGTCCTGTTAGCCCACACTATTTCCTGCCTGGATAGATGCTACTACTGACACCATGCCTACAGCCTCTACTTTTGTCCTTATCTGAACATTTTCTATAGAAAGAATGGAACTTTAAAAAATAAAAATGTCTATAAAAGTCAGAGGTCAGGAAGGACCAGACTTATAGCAAGAATTCTAATTGGTCTTAATAATAATAAAAAAAATGGAGTTAGATAACAGGGTAAATGCTAAAAGATCAGAGAAGTAAAGGAGCAAGACCCACTAATCTCTACCAAGTCCTCAGACCAAAGGGGGCAAGATCCTGTCTCCATGAATTCTCAGACTAAATGCCTTGAGATCCTGTCTGCTCCCACCTTATATTCCTCTCTCCACCCAGCTATATTCCTTTCTGTTTCCATCTTCCTAGTGATGGGATTAAAGTCCTGTGAATTCCAAGTACTGGTATTAAAGGTGTGAACCAATAGCCCTTGGCTCCATTTCTCTTTGAGACTGGATCAATCTAGTGTAGCCCAGAGTGGCCTTGAACTCACAGAGATCTACCTGCTTCTGTCTCCCCGAATGCTGGGGTCAAAGGTCAGGCCACCACTGCCTGGCCTCTACGGCTAACTAGTGGCAGTGGCTCCCTCCACACTCGGATCCTCAGACAAGCTGTATTTGTTAGAGCACAAACAACACATCACCACCCCGACTGAACCAATGTCTTTTGCACTCATGAGCTCACAGTAGCTGTGGCCGCTGAACAAGACAAGACCAGTGACCTACCATTCAAGCACAGAGGAACGAGGGGCTCACAGGCTCCCACTCACACCAAAGAAACTACTGATGACTTCTAAAAAGAAAAGCCAGTTTTCTTTAAAGGTGAGAATGCCAGGCGATAGCCGCACACTCATTAGTATGGGCAGCACAACTGAACTTGACACATCATTAAGAAGAAAGAAACTGAGGTAATAAGTACATAGGTAGAAAGGATTTGGGAGAAATTAAGGGTAAGGCTGTGGGATTAATA